AGTCACTTACTACTACTACACCTACTTTCATTCTGCCATGTTCTAAGGACGCCCCTGCGTGTTCCTTGTGTCTCCAGAGGGAAAAGCAGCAGGTGGAGGGAGCGCTGACGGATGTGAGGAGGAACGAGGAGGAGATGTGTCAGTCCAACCAGTTGCTGCTCACTCGCCTGGAGGACGTGCAGGTAGCGCCAGTTCGCTGTTAGCTTTGGAGAAACCTTGTGGTGGCGTCTTCTGAGACGCCTCACACATAGCTGCTTTGGACTTTGTTGCGTAGCATCGCGTCTCTCGGCGCGGATCCACAGCGTGAACCAGTTGTCCCGTTTTCATTCCCAGAGTAAGCTGACCAAGCTGAACCATGAGCACAGGGACCTGAAGGAGAAACTCAAGGAGGAGAGGAAACAAATAGAGGAGCTATGGAGGGCAAAAACTGAGCTGGAGGATGAGAGGATCCTGCAGGACAGAACTGTGGAGCAACTGCAGAGGAAGGTGAGAAGTGTACTATTTAATCAGGCATTTATTTATTAAGCCACATGAGCAGAAACAGCTGCTATTTGTCGTGTCTTATCCATGTTTACCAAAAGGTCCACGTATCTCACCATAGAAACACTCTGTCTTTATCTCAGATGAATAACATTATGGAGGAGTGCGAGGCGTCTACAGATGTGCTTCAGGACCAGGTCGAGGAGGCCAGAGAGAGGAGTCAGAGGGAGTTGGACGAGCTGCGCAGGCAGCTGCAGGAAAAGGGAGGCGAGCTGGAGAAATGCCGTCAGGCGGCCAAAAAGCTGCAGGAAGAGGTGTGGTACTCATTGTCCCCGTGAGTCACTAGCATGTGGGTTCAGCAAAAAACAACATTAGGATGGAAAGGAGTGCAAATGTTTTTCTGCTGATAAGATGTTCTTTTTTTAAGTAGTCAAAGAAGTGTTTCAAGGCTTCAGACTGACAATTCAGCAAGTCAGCACGTATCACTTACCTCTCACATATCTGACTGACGGGCCGTCACCTTATCTTACAGCGTGTGTTTCTTCTGTGGTCTGTTATGAGTGCAGCTGCTTCCTCTGGAGGAGGATCTGCGGCGCTGTCGCAGGGAGCAGCAGGAGGCCCAGCTGAGGGTCCGGCAGCTGGAGCAGAGGGTGGAGGAGCTGGAGGGGAGAAACGCAGCCGCGGTGGGAGAGCGAGAGCGCCAGGTCAAAGTCATGGAGGTAAATGTCTCAGCAGCCCGGGACACGACACAGATATCTTGGCTCTGTTCCTAGTATGGATCAAAACACTGGTACGTCTTTCATCAGACGTTTTTGTACTCAAGTCTGCTTCTGCGGTAGTCCTCGCTGCAGCCAGTGTCTCATGAAGCCATGGAGATTAGCTGGACCATAGAGCCTTCAGTCCTACATTCTTGGGTCCATCGTTATGAGTCCAATTGGTTAAGGTGCCAGTATTGTCGTGTTCAGTAAAATAAACGCCAGCAGCAAACCTCACAGCTCAGCACTGCTCGCTCTGGCTGATGACACAACACAGCAAGTCGACACCGGCGTGCTCATTGTGACACTGTGAGGCTGTCTACTGTACAAAGTTATCAGACCTGTCTGCGTGTCTCAGAAATAGCAGTTCACTCCCTCCCCCCCACCCCCCCCCCCTCCAGAGTCACAGAGCCCACTTTTTTTTCAAACAGGAATACCTTTGTCTTTCTGCATTTATTTCCACAGCTTGATTCATGTTTCATTAAGCCCTTAACACCTTTATTTAAAAATCAGTCCGTGTTTTTTTTAACCACATCCTTTAGAGATGCTGTATCGTGTGACGCGGGATTATGAAATCGTGATTTGAAACACACGTGTTCCTCTCCTCTCAGGGACGCATCGGCCAACTAGAGGAGGATCTCAACGATGAGCGCAGCAGCGCTGACAGCCTGATGGAGCGATTAGACAAAACCAAAGAGCAGGCACGTTCCCTCCTGCACACTCTCCTTTGGCATTTTGTGCTCAGACTTCAGAATGCTGGCTTTGTAACAGCCCTGAAACATGGCTGAACTGCACTGACTTCATCTATACGTTTCTTTCTCTCCGCTGTCGTCAGTCTCACGTCCTCGGTTCGCCTGTGAAGTGGGCCACTATTCATGGGAGCAATGCGGTGCCGACTAATTGACACACAAAACACAAGAAAACAGCCAACTATTGTGAGCAGCTATTGAAAGTCCCTTCACTGGGCCTCTGGATGTTAATAAAGGAGAAAGAAGCCTTTAGATTTAATAGGCCTACTCAGACCAGACAGCATTTCCTCGGATTTTAGGAGTTAAGCTGATAACTTCATTTAACCTAAAAGTTATTGTCAACAGATGCTGTCATTATTAATAAGGTCGTGTTTTCAGTCAATATGGAAAACAGGATGCATAAAGTTCAAGCCTATATTTAGCTCTATGGTTAGAAATTGGCATAAACAATCAAAACTTTTACGTTACGTTTTACGCCAGTTGTGGAATAAGTATTCGATCCTTGCAATATAATATAATAGCAATAAAGTAAAAGTAAAAGTCCTGCATGATAAATCCCACCAAATAAAAGTATAGTATGATCAGAAAAATGTACATAAGTAATATCCAAAAGCCATGAGAGTGACATTACTATTCATGACATTATCAAAATGGTTTATACTGATGGCTTAACGTGTTTATGTGCCGTCGGCAACTTTAGTCCGGTGGTTTTGGAAAAAACAACAAATCTATGATGAATTGGTTAATTCAACCTCATTTATTGACAGATCCTCGTTTTTCAGGAGGTCTCACAGCTCTGGGATTAAGGGGTTCAGACCCAAACTCAAATGAAGACATGAGGAGACAACAGGGAGACTTTCACTGAATTAAATCATGGCAAAAAGAATATAAAGAGAATTTTATCCCAAATGAACTATAACCCCCAAACACTGAAGAAAACTTTAAACAAAATGCTGGAATGTAGAAGAAGAAAAAACTACTGAAACCTGAGAAGAGGGAAACCAGACAGGCTAAATACTCAAGGGGCAAATCAACTAATGAAACACAGGTGAGAAAGGAAACAGGCGGGAAAAAGACAAAGGCAGGAAGTAGAATGCGTCACTTTACTTTGGTAGTCACTCTTGTCATGACACATGAGACTGACTATCAAAGTAAAACAGGAAATAAGCAACAAACAACAAACAATCAATGACAATGACATGAGACAAAAAGACTAATATTTAAAGGGACAGTTCACCCCAATATCACAAATATTGGTTTGTCATCTTACGTGTAGTGCTATTTATTTATAAGTCCAGGTGGTTTTGGTGTGAGTTTTATAGACATTGGTTCTCTCCAATGTTACAAAATGATTTAGTTATATTCCACCACGGATAAAAGGTAAGCTGTTCCCCTCCTCTCGTTGTGACAGATGGATCAGATGAGGAGCGAGCTGATGCAGGAGAGGGCAGCCAGGCAGGACCTGGAGTGTGACAAGATGAGCCTGGAGAGACAGGTAAGCGACCTTCGACCTTACGACACAGCAGAGCACCTACAAGGGAGAGAGCAGGATGTTTTGGATTTTAGAGACAGAATTGGAGTTTACAAACACAGTCTGTTCTTACAAGTTTTTTGGCACAATGCTGTGTTTCTTGTAGATGAGCGTAATAGTGTGAAACCATTGGCTGGGCTGAGTATCGCGTCATTCGCCTCGTCAGGAACGTCCCGTTTCGCCTAATGAATGACATTCTTCTGTTTCATTTCCCCTCTGAGAATAAAGACCTGAGGAGCAGAGTGACTCATCTAGAAGGATCCCAGAGGACCAACCAGGATTCACTGGTCTCCAAACTTAACAGCCGCATTCAGGAGCTTGAGGAAAGGCTGCAAGGAGAAGAGAGGTGATTGCCTACACGTTGCATAATGGCCGTTCCCTTTGGAGAATGGCTCCGTCGGGCACTTTGATGGTAGCTGTCGAGCAGCGAACCCACTCATATCGCTGGTGGTAAGAGTGAGAGTATCCGAAAAACACACCGTGTTGATGCTTTTTCCTCGCAGAGACAACAACAGCCTGCAACAAGCCAACCGCAAGCTGGAGCGCAAGGTGAAGGAGATGAAGATGCAGACGGACGAAGAGCACGTCAATCTGCAGAGCCAGCGAGACCAGGTAGACCAGTGTTTAACCGCAAAGTTACCAAGTGGTCCGGAGCTGCAGACCTGACTCCTGACTCATCGGGGGTGGCACTTTTGTGAACTCTTCAGCTGACTCAGAGACTTAAGACGGCGAAAAGGCAGATGGACGAGGCGGAGGAGGAGATTGAGCGTCTGGAACACGGCAAAAAGAAGCTGCAGAGAGAACTGGATGAGCAGATCGAGTCCAACGAGCAGCTTCACGGCCAACTGAGTTCACTGCGGAACGAGATGAGGTGACGGCTCACCTTCCGCCGCTTTAGTTCCTGCCATCTCAGTATGCGGTGTTACTTGAACTTTAAGTGTTTGTTTGACTCCGGTCGTTTTACCTCTGTGCATCAACAGGCGTAAGAGGAAATCCCCTCCTCCCAGTAAGACCACGGAGGACGACGGGAACGACGCAGATGACCTCGGATCCGATTGACAGGCGTCAACAACATGGAAACAACACGTGTTGTCTTTGGACTTTATTAAAAAATGACGGACTTGGGAAGAATCCGTGATATTATTATTCAACATAACCCCTTTAACCAACTCAGGTGTGATTTCATGATGTTCCCAGTTGCCATGTCTGACCTCTTGTGGCAACATGTATAACTACAATACCTGACAAACTGATGTCTTACAATGCAGCAGATGGCGTATTTACCTCCACTCATATTCATTCATTTGTTAATAAGCTGTTCATTTGCAGCATGCGTTTACCTTCAATTGTAAATCTTAAACTAATGAATAAATAAAATGAAGTTGATACATCTCAAGAAACTAAAAGTTGTCTGTTTGTCCTGCGATGACACACACACAAATATGGAGAAATGGAGGTGTAACATGAATCAACGCTTGTGGATCTTTGCGTGCCGTTGGGGCTGATTAGAGGGCCGTGATGGTTCCACCGCTGGATCAATGGCCTGTTGTGAGTGGCTGCGCTCTGGAAGAGGTGGAGATTTGAGAACTCCGGAGGTTCACACTGGTGGACATTTGGTAGTTTTAGCAGCACTTGGCACGGGGATACATGGAAATACAACACAAGAGAAGCATGAGGCAACACTGTGCGATCAAACATGGAATACTCAAGGAATTCCTGGCAGAATTCCTGGGGACGTTTGTCTTGGTTGTAAGTAACATTTTGTATAACAAATGTGTCTTGGTGTAATGTAACAGTGTATTTGTTTTTAGAAGTCTGAGATCTTGTGTCAACTTCCAGGCTGCTCTGAGAAATCAACCCGTGTCTTTGTGATGTCGGTGAAAATCTGCTTCTCTCCTCCCCTCTCGTTTGTCAGTTGTTTGGCTGTGGCTCAGTCGCTCAGACCGTCCTCAGCCGAAACAGCCTGGGCGAACCTCTCACCGTCCACATCGGCTTCTCCGTGGGACTGATGATGGCGGCGTACGTGGCCGGCGGAGTGTCGGGTAAATGTGGTTTCCACTCCAACTGATTTCACATCAGCCACCACTGACATGGCCCTTAGAAGCAAATGCGTGTGCAATGCAATTAAAGGAATCATTGTTGTTGGGTGTCGCTGTGATCAAGTTTCTACCGTGCCGGGTAATGGCCTCCTGTCAAATAAACTGAATAAATATCATCGGTTTAATATTGTTTTATTGTGTGCATATTGAGCTGATTTGCTGCATTTGATCTACTGTTTAGGGCCGCGCACGCCATTACAATCATTTAAAGTTAATGCACACGACCTAAAACAGTTTGTGCTCCATGCAAACTGTAATGCAAACCTGATGCTTGCAGCTTCTTGTAGTACGAATTTGCCTTTATGACTTTCTGACTTCCTGTCCAGCAGAGTGCCCGTGTCAGCAGGGACGCGCCAGCTCTCTGTCCACAGCCAATGAAAGTGTTGTGACCATTGATTTGTGAGTGTTGTTGCGGGGTCGTACATAACCCTGGGCACTAAATGTCCTGCAAATTCCATTGATCACAGGCTACGTTCATCAGACCAAATGAGACTGCCCGGCCCATCTGAGCCGCTGCTACTATTTCACAACGAAAGGACCAAACCGAATTCACGCAGGGAGATGACAGATGTTTTTTGAAAATGAAAAGAATTGGCAGGATCTGAGTGCAGCTCGATTTAAAAGAGCAACACGATAATGCTCCCCTCTTGTTTTGTTTTCTTCTTACTCACTGGTTGTATTTCTAATATGTGACATGTCATTCTGCCCGTGAACACACATCATCAACATACAACAGAACCGGGCGCCACCCCCCCGGGGGCCGCTCGCCTTCTGCTGCCCCCCACGTGCATGTGACAGCCTCCCAAGTGATGGAGAGGATGTCACGGCAGACTCCCCCCCACCCACTGCACCGCTCTTTACGTCTCTGCTTTGTCTTTGGTCCCAGGGGGGCACGTGAACCCCGCTGTGTCCCTGGCCATGGTGGTTCTGGGCAAACTGAAGATTTGGAAGTTTCCCTTCTACGTCATCGCTCAGTTTCTTGGTGCTTTTGCGGGAGCGGCTGCAGTCTTTGGATTGTACTACGGTGAATAGCCCTGAGCTTTGTCCCCCCCTTCCCCTTCCGTCTGTCACAGCGAAGGTATTTCAGATCATGGCAAAGAGATACTATTCTTTACAGCTATTTATTCTTCCTTCTCCCAGATGCTTTCATGGACTTCACCAGTGGGATTCTGTCAGTGACGGGAATCAATGCAACGGGTCACATTTTTGCTTCCTACCCTGCGAGACACCTGTCAGTCCTCGGCGGCTTCATAGATCAGGTGAGCTCCCAAATAAATAGTGCATTTCAGCTCCCATTCTGCATTTAAATCCTGGAGAATCTAACTAATGCAAAATTGATTGAAAATCCTCTTTATTGCTTCAGCTTTGGGTCTAATGACCCATTTCCTGGCATTCACTGGAAGGTCCAATCTATACTTAACACCATTTTCCGCCTTTTTAGTCGCTGCAGCGATCCAACATTAACACATCGTCATCATCACCGTGGCGCACGGAGTAGAGAGGGTGCGCCGGGGACGCAGGGTCGGTGGTTCAAACCCCGGCTCTGTGTCCCATGTCGAAGTGTCCCTGAGCAAGACACCGAACCGTTAACTGCTCCCACTGTGTGGGACGGGTTAAATGCAGAGAACAGTTTACTGTATGTGTAAAATAATACTCGGCTTCTTCTTCATCTGACATAAGTCTAATTAAATAAATGTTTAACAAATGTATATCTGTGTGACAGTGATGCTGTACACACTTCTGCCTCTAGATACTAAATAATTAACATATTAATGAAATACTTAAAAACCATTAGTGACACAGATTACAAACTGAAACAGTGAGAAGGAATCATGTACCAAATGAGTGAGGGTTTGATTTTAATGTGCCCAATACAGTGCAGGTTAACTTAACCCATTTGATTTATAGAAATAATACCAACATTTTATGCAAAAATGTGAAGTTAAGAAAACTCGTGCCGGAGATTCAGGAGGCTAAAAGCGAAGATACGTAAACCAACTTACGCGTTGGGTAGAACAGTGTTCCCTACTCTGCAGTTTACCAAACAAGTGTTGTTCCACTCCTGCAGGTGGTGGGCACGGGGATGCTGGTCCTGTGTATCTTGGCCATCATCGACGGGGAGAACATCGGCGCGCCCAAAGGCGTGCAGCCGCTGGCTATTGGTCTGATCATCATGGCCATTGGTGTTTCTATGGGGCTGAACTGCGGTTACCCCCTGAACCCTGCCAGAGACCTGGGACCACGACTGTTCACCGCTGCAGCAGGATGGGGGATGGAGGTCTTCAGGTAAGTACCAGGCCAAATATTTTATTTTGTATTTATTTACTTTATGTGAGCACTGCCGTGGGAAATGGTATTTAATAGAAACAGAACAAAGAAATCTATTTAGTTATACAAGGGCACACATATCTGTGAATATTCTTCTAATTTGTCAACCTATATAACCACTGTAGATGAACTCAATTCTTTCTTATTCAGACGTTGGAAGCATATAATGTTGGATGTGAATTATCATTATTGGATTATATTATAAATGATCATTTATATATGAATCATTTTTTAAATTGTGTCCATATGGTCATGTAGTTTATTGTTATTTTTGAGAAATATTCTAATAATAATCATAGAATATTTGTTTGTATGTCTAACTTGTGTTAGATAATAAATATAATTGCATATGATTGTGAGAAGTGATTCAAAGATATAAATCTTTATCGAAAAAAAATCAATAATAAATCAAGAGGTTGATTTAGTTCGTAGATTGGTGATGACTGATGAAGACCTGAGCTGCTGGCTGATTTCAATCGGTGATCTCTGGCGGTTTCTGGAGATCATTAGAACTCTTGATCTATTTCACTCTGCTGCTTGCAGCACTGCAAACAACTGGTGGTGGATCCCTGTGGCGGGGCCCATGGTGGGGGGGGTGCTGGCGGCCGCCATCTACTACCTGCTTATCGAGGTGCACCACCACCGCGAAGCGCCCGAGAAGCCCCGCGAGGAAGAGGAGGAGGAGGAAGAGGAGGAGGACGAGGACAGCAGTCTGAAGGACAAATACGAGATGATCACGATGAGCTAAAAAGAGAAAAGAGACATTATCTTTGTTCCGTCTGTAAAGACGGGCCTCCCGTGTCTCCTTTGCAATTTAATGTTTTACGTTTCAAACACATGAAAATCTCAGTCCTTTGTGCTTCAACATGTTCACATTGTTATTTTCATTTAAATGTTGTAAATACTGTATTATAGATATTAGAACCTTTATTTGCTGTTATTCAACAATTGCTACTGTGCTAATAGTTTTACGTTACTGCCAGTCTCTTTTTACCTTTAGTGGTGGTTGTGATGATATTCTCTGTATATTCACTTAAGACTGTTTTTTTGTTCCAACTTGTGATTGTTTTCTTCTTTTGCAAACCACGACAAATCCCCCCCCCCCCACCTTTATTCTTTGTTATTATACCGTGTGATGTTTTGTCTACATTAAAGTTTCTACAAATATCGAGTTCATAGGACATAAGGATCATACGTTACATTTATTACTAAAAACTCCAGTTAAACTGACCGTTTGTTCATCTCAGCATTAATACCACTACATACATGTAAGCGTCCCTTACATCGCTGTATCAGCTTGTGTGATGAAGTAGAAGAGGACAGTAAAGGTGGCCGCCAAACCTCACCAGCTTACGAGTACATTTGTCGGTCTGAGATTTGGGGGTTTGGCAGCTTGGTTGGACAAATCTAGCGTTGTGATTGGTCAGTTGCATTTTGTGACGACTGCCTTTGTGATTACCTCCCCCACCAATGATAAGATGTGATCATTAAAGCACATTTCTTGCAGCACATTCGGTTCTCACCAGACCAAACAATAATCTAATCTCTGGGCATTATCTGACACTGGACAATGAATCGGGAGTCATATTGTATTTCCGTCTCGTATTTCGTAATGCTGAGGGACAGATGCCACTCGACTCGGTCTGGGGGACAGCGAGCAGGGCCGGGGCCTCCATCACAATCGTGCTTTGTCCCTGAAAGGAGACACAGTCGCGTGAGACGCCACAGCTCTTTGCACACGGCTGAAACCAGCGACGTTGGGATGTTGTTTAAAGGCCGAGCGTGACATCTGCTCGAAGAGAGCTGTGAGAAAGTGAACGACGGCACCAGTGATTAAAATTAGAATCCAAATCTATTGCAACTCGACTCGACGGCCGCGTTACTTAATACAAAATATTGAACCTGAACTCGTTCATGTCAGCAGCTGAGAATCCACATTGAAAATCAATAGCAGGCCACATTTCCCTGCATGTGCTAACGCCTGCTTCCTCTGGTTGTTCCATCATCAAACACACTCGTGACGAAGGACTCATCAATGTGTCCACAGAATCAGTGAATGAAGGATGTGGCAAAAACAAACGACTGAGACACGCAAAGATGCCCGAGAAGTTGCACGAAATTGATTCAACACTTTTCGGTGACATAAATAGAGCTTTACTGAACATGCACAATATCTGGAGTGGAAAGCGATGAGGGAAGTACCCTTGGATGGAAACAAGAGGGGATGAGAAGCTGTGTGTGGCTCCGAGGTGCTAATGGTGGTGACTCAGAGGGTGCAAAAGCTCCCAACTCTTCAGCAACTGCGCAAACAGCTGCTCCCCCTGCTGTGGACGCCGCTCCACTGCAAACAGCCGAGCAAGCAGCTTTAGGCGTCGTCGTGTAGGACGTTAGAGGACACACGGCTTCATGGGAGAGAGATCAACAAGCACATGTTACATTTTTGGGGGATTTCTTTGTCATAGTCCGTCCATCCATCAGATCCATCTTCAACCGCTTATGCGGGGTCAACAGCTCCAGCGGGGGACCCCAAGTTTTGCTTTCCCGGGCCACATGTACCATCTCTGACTGGGGGATCCCGAGGGGGCTTCCAGGCCAGTGCAGAGATACAATCTCTCCACCTAGTCCTGGGACAAAAGGATCAGAATCCGACCGATCCAATCCTCAGCGCTACTAACGGACTGTGTACTTTTCTACACCAATGCAACGAGAACAGGAGGATTAGAAAAAGAGAGACATTACACATTACAGACAGTAAACAGGGGTCTATTTTATTTTGAACGAGTCTTTTAATTAATGCATTTCAAGTACTCCAAAAATTACATCTCTGCACAATACAATTTGAAATTTTTTTTTTTTTAGTAAAAATGTTCAAAGTGAACAAAAAAAATTTGATACTGTATAAAACACAGTGAACATTAAAATCAGACAGTAGTATTACTTTTTAATCCTGTGTTCTTTCGGCCTACATCACCTACAACATTGCAACTCAATCTGGACATTTTCAGTGCACGTTTATCGAAAAACTTTACCAAGACTACAAAATTAAAAAGAAAGTAAATTTACAGGCATTATTCTTCTGCTCTTCTACCCAAACCATGCCACAGGGGAACAATGAGAAAAATAAGAATGTAACATTGACTCCATCACCCTGAATTGTTTTTACGATTGATGACGGTGGAAAAAAGTATCATAAGCAAACTTCACTTCAACGAGCACATACAAGAACTTAAAGAACGCCGACGGGACAGTTTGTCACACATGAACATCATTGAACAACTTATTCTGGAATTAGAATACAAAAAAATCCAACGGATGTATCAAAATGTAATTTTTCCATTTTCCGAAGTACTGTACAAGTTTTACATTTAAACTCTCTTGGCTCAACCGGCGGGATCACGCCTAGGAGAATTTAAAGAGAGTTCCATTTTAAACAGAAATGAGAGTTCTAGGGGGGGGGGGGCGCGGACATGGATATTCATCTGCCATGTGAAAGAAACCATTAACGGTGACGCGTTGTTCACAATTCCCCCTCCAGAGCACATGAGTGATGATTACAGACGCATTTGCATGCGTTCAAAAGATGATGCCAGAATAAAATGTAGTTTTGTGTACAATCCCAAATGAACCCCATTTCACCCACTTACCCCTAAAAGCTTTAGGTGGGTGAATTGTTCGCAGGGAAAAATAAAATCACGAGATGTTGCACAATTTATCACGACAGGATGATCAGAGCCTTTTGGAGCGGAAGAAAACACGCAAGGTCAAACTTCCAACAAAGAACAAACACATTTCCTTTATTTGTGACATTGAAAGTGGCTTTGGGAACATAACAGGTATCTACTGGCTTTTTCTAAAAAGAAAATCTCCTGCACTCGTGTGCTCTTAAGGGGATTTATTCCGCGATGAAATCTGGCCAGGGGACAACTGCGGGTGAGTTTAAAATGTGAAGTAAAAGCAGGAGCTCGTCTCTGTGATACTGGTGAACACACCGAGGAAATGAACGTTGTGGCTCCACTGCTGCATTTCGCTGCTCCTTCCACCCTTTTTAAGACTAACATTAATAGCTGTCAAAGTAAATAGTGTTGTGTGACATAGAAATATTACAGACCTTGGTCAATAAAAAGTCACATTTAATAAATGTGTCCGCATGCCCACATTGAAAAGTTCTTAGACTCGCTATCTGAAGAATAATAGAATGATTTCATCTTACAATTATTTTTGTACATCCACACCGGAGTCGTTTTTAAATTTATTTCCACACTCATGTAAACTAACTCTGTAACATGATACACTTCTAAGCTGAACCACAGCAGCCTTCACGTTCCCTCGTCTTCATTTATCAACAGGTAGAATTGTCCTCATCTTCAGTTAGTGGTTTCCCATTCTTCATTATCCAAAACAAATTCGGTTAGACAGTAAAAAGGTGTCCCAGACTAGGTGGTCTTCCCGTTCTGTTCCTGTGACCTCTAGCTTGTTACAACACGTACGAAAAAACAGGATGTTAGCAAGACAGTTAAAAATAAAAAATAAAAAGATGAGAAAAAAAAGGGGACCTTGAACGAAGAAGGCCTGAAAAGTGAGAGAACGGCGACCTCGTTCAAAAAAAAATCTAACAAAAGTGAAAAAGATCCACCTGATAGGACGACTGCGAGGAGAACTTGATGGCGCCAAATCCTCGACTGCAGCGTTCAAGGAACTCATCGCAACCATCAGTCCTTCAATTTAGTGTTAAGAGTCCTGAGAGCACTAACCGAAAAAAAAAGAAAAGTGAAGAATTACACATTTACAGTAGAAGAAATAGTTTGTTTTCACTTATGATACACTAAATATGTACAGTCACATGCAGAAGACGGTCTGCACGAGAGACCGCAGCCTGTGTCTTTTGCCGTTTGACATGTGTACATCACAAAAGTGCCGCGAATCCCCACCGAGTGTCTCTCATTCTTGGCTAGAATGGCGAAAGAAAATCACGGAACAATTCACCAGCAGCCACGGGCGTGTCACTCAAGAAGACGTCGCAATAGAAGAAAAAAAAAAAAAAAATAACACATCACAGAATGTACTAAAGCTACACATGATCCTTAACTCCTTGGCACTCCTTAACAGAAATAAAACAAAGGGTGGAAAAAGATGCTAGATCGCACTGCATTGGAAATGGCTGATGGTTGAGTCCCCTCCACGAAGAGCCAATCGACTTGCTTGTTTTCGCTCTCTCACGCATCCGGTCTGGTCTGTAAATGGAGGATGTGATGACGACTAACAACCACGTCAGGCTTTTCTTTGGATGGAGTGACGCTTTTGTTTCCCACTGTAGGCACGAGGAGAAGCCAAGGTTACGGGGGAGGCGGGCAGGTGGGGAGGGTGGGTGTGTGTGTGGGGGGGGGGTTCTCAGCGTCTCATCTGGCCCATCTGATAGTTCTCCCTGGGCTGACGGTGGTGCCTCTGGGGCTGCGCCTGCCGCTGAGGCTGCCTCTGGGGCTGGCGCTGGCCGGCGTGCGGGTGGCCGTGCTGAGACTGGCTCTGCACCTGGGAGTTGGCGTGCTGCTGCGCTCGCCGCCTCTTCAGGGTGCCTGTCGGGGGTGAAAGGAAGTTATTCACGCCGGTCAGAAAACACATTGTGGGTTTTCCGCTGAGCAAAAATTGCGCCTGCAGACACACTGCTGCGGATTCCATCTGCCGCAATAACAACCATGTTGCAAGTGTGAGAAAATGGGTCTAAGAAAGCTGTGTGTGCAGTGTGTGCGAGACTGGTCGGGATCAAGAGGGAGGAATTGTCGAGCGGTGTCACGGTGAATCGTAGAATTACACCTGCAAACACCGTAAAAGGGGGTTCGAGCGCACACACACGTGGTCAACGCAATTCTTCTGCACCGTTTTCAACCCAGTTGAGTCAACGTCACCAGTTTAACTGCTGCATGACCTCAAAACATCTAAACCCACGCACAACATATTCAGCAATAAATATATAAACAGAACATTTAGTTAACTTTCTCTGTAAATCTCTCACCTGGAAGTGGTTTGGGAGGAGGAAGTTTGGGGTTGCTGCTCGGTGTGTGCACACTGCAGATCTTAATGAAGCCGGCCATCAGCATGATGAGGGCGATGCCCATCAGCAGCACTGCCCACCAATGGGCCTAGAGGAGGGAAAGACGCACGGATCAAAAACACAACACGCCTCACGATAACAATCCCGACCAAGCAGCCGATCCGAATCAGTAAGCGGATGCATACCACGATCCACTCGGCTATGTTTTCATACAGCTCCGGGTTGAAGATGGCCTTCTTCAGCCGGGCGAGCGGTCCGTCCGCGTCCACCAGGCGGCACTTCATGAACACGTCACAGTAGCCCTTGAAGTCATTGCAGGGCGAGCCGGCTGGCAGCGTGGTGACTTTCTTGTTGAAGAAGCGAGCCAGCCGCTCTGATCCTGTGCTGCTGCATGTGTTGGGATTCACTGCGGAGACGGATCGCAGACGCAATTAAAAGAGATGACATCTCTGGCACACCATATATAGATTCTTTTTCTCCCTCAGGTCAGGGGGGGGGGGGGGCGAGGTAAATAAGTCACTCTTCTCCATGCAGCACACGTGGCAAAGCTCCGTCTCGTCCTTCCCATCTTGGCTGGCACAGGTGCAGGCCTCGAGGCCGTACTTCTCGCAGATGGAGCCGGAGCAGCCCTGCAGAGGGGGGGGGGACACGAGGACGCGGGAGATCAGATGCGGACTGGTGGGAACAGAAAGTTGCTGCGGTGACCAAGTCTTACCCCGTTGAGGCAGACTTGAGTCTCCCCGTGGCAGGCGGTGAAGTTGGCCTTGGGCTCGGATGTGGGGCACTGGGCACCGACTCCGTTACACATGCCCTGGTGAGCGCACTCGGACTCCTCTCGGCACTTCTCGTTACGACCCTTGTAGGAGCACTCGGGAGTGCAGCAAGGACCCTGGCTGGGACTGGTGGGAGAGAGAGAAGACGTTTGCTCAACAACTATAACCGAATGAGCGGCCGGTCAAACTGCTCAACGCGGGAACAAAGTCCACATCTACCTGCAGACTTTGTTGGGCTTCAATTTGCATTTCCTGTTGTCAGGCTGGTTGGCGTCATAGCAGCACTGGTCCCTGCACTGATCGCTGTAGCCACAGTCACACTCCTCCCCCGGCTCCACCAGGCCGTTGCCACAGATGGGCTGACCTGACTCTGTTTTGGGGAGAAAAAAACAAACAAACATTGAGTCTGGTCCCCAGAAAAACTGGAATAATAATAAACTCAGTCCTCGAGAGAGCTCAATGCTACACTGAATCAAAAAAAAAAAAAGGCTTTGTCAGTTAGTCATATTCAAAGATGAATATGTAGACATGAGACTCAAAGCTGCTCCTTGAAAAAAGATTGCGCTTTTAAAGTGTGACGCTTACAAAACAGAAAAGAAGATCACCAATAAAAAAAAATATCCAAAATACTGCGAGTACAAATACCACTGAACAGATGCCAAGAAGGAGCTTTGAAAAGCGGATACCAAACAGCGCATGAGGGTTCAAATCTCCCACACATTACATTACAGCAAAAGCCGAATCAGAATAATATTAAGGTTTGAATTTACAAATCCCTGAGTTGGACAGTTGAGATGAAAAGCGTGAAACGCACCGACGAAACAGTTGCTTCTTTTCTTCTCCAGCACCTGGCTGATGTTGCGCACGCTACAGATGGAGAACTTGTTGTTGTTGAGCTTGTCGCCCGACGTGGCTCTTGCGTACATGATATAATTGCCCTTCTCCTTCTTGTCTTGGCTCTTGGATTCTCCTGGAGTGCACTCGGATCCAGAGTCGTGCTGAGGAGGAGAAAGAAAAGAAAAGGTTACATGGAGAAGGTACAAAGTGTGCGAGCCGAATTCACTCTCAACATACATGAAAGTGGCACGTCCAAGTTACTCACCGGGGAGCCAAAGTTGTGTCCTACTTCATGAGCGAAGGTGATGTGGGAGACTTTGGGAGGTACGTGGGAGGCATAGTTCTGTACAGTGATTATACCAGTGTTCAGAGACTTCTTTTTGCCGTCTGAGTACAGCTTGCTCTTTTCACAGATGCCTCCAGAGCTCCCTGCGAAATAAAAGCCCAAGTTGGAAATGTATTGCAAACAACAGCTTAGAAAAAAAAAAGAAGAAGATTTGATTTTGGAAGAGGGAGAATCTTGTTTATACAGCTGACGATTGATTACGAGATGACATCATGTCTGACTTCAAGAGAAGGTGCTAAATTCTAATTGTGGGGCACACAAGACCTTTGACAGTAAATGAAAGATTTCAATAGTACAATATCTTCTGTTTAAAATTCTAATTGAGAATGTAGTATGAAAATAATGAACTCCGTTGGGAATCATCAATATCTGCATATTCTCTGAGACAAAAAAGCAGCTACAATATAGCAGCTCTTCTAGAATTAGCTCATATTCACCCGGACTGGGTGTCCCTTAGGATAATATGCCTAATCCAAAACGTAAAGAATATTCTACCTCACGTCATACGCTGTATAGAGCTTTTAAAAAGAAGAAAAAAGACAGGATTCGTTTTCGATCACCAACGCCCGCCAGTACCTGAAGGGGCTCCCACCCAGGCCAAACCCAACACCCCGTCATCGAAGTCTCGGTCGGTGAAGACGTAAGCTAGGCAGTAGTCGTCGTGGTTCTGCTCGGAGTTCAGCTCAAGGAACTTCTCCACGCCGATGTTGGCGAAGCGGAACGGGTTGGACCGGTCCCTCTCGTCGCTGGTGGTGTTTATCTACAGGACAACGGTGACGACCAGTTCAGAGGGAAGACATCTTAAATCCGCACAGGCCTCCCAATGCGCACAAGACTCACCCTGATCCTCTTCACCATGAAGCTGATGTTGCGGATGCCCATGAAGTCAGTGCCCTGATAGATCGCATCGATGGCCTTGACATGACTAGAGATCTGAAACGGTCGGAAAACAAAAGAAAAAAGCTTGGTGGTGTCCGCTCACAGTGGGAATTAGATTTGAAAACGAGTGTGTGAATGCAATCACGCCTTTAAACTCTTTTATAAATGTTCTGTTGGTAAAAGAAATACAAAAAAGATGTACTGCGTGACGGGGACTGTGTATTACCTGAGCAATCACCGCCTCCCTGGTCTTGTAGTACTTGAAGAAGAGGTGGTCAGTCTGAATGAAAAGCTGGCAGGTGTTTTTCTCCACCTGGGCCATCCTCCGTTTCCTCAGCAGCACGGGGTCATTGGAGCCGACCTCGGCGTGAAGCTCCTGGTGCGAGGAGACGAGAGCAGGAAATAGACAACATTTTGAACCAAACCGAGGCTAAATAAATAATATCTGCTATTTTTAGGCCTTGTTTTTCCAGCTGCAGTATATTCATAAGCCGACTCTGTTGCTGTGGAATTATGTATCTATGCTGCATTCAGGAATAGGGGGGAGAGAAACTGTAATATTTATATATATATATATATATATTAAAAAAAAGGATGAACATTTATAATTTATAAGAAATTGCATTAGGGCCAACCTCATGAGTCCATTCCTCTACAGACTCATAACTACAGACTGTGTAAAATATGGATGCAGGCTCCATCTCCCAACCAGAGGTTTCAAAGTTGAAGGTATTTGCGTCGTCGGCATTTCTAACTGGTCTGTAGGAATTCACCTCAGTCTGCCTCAAGTGGCCATTTGAAGAATCGCAGCACACACAATTATAATAAATAAAAGCATTTAAACATTCAACAACAAAAAAATGTGTAATATATATATTACACACACACACACACACACACACACACACACACACACACACACAGGTTTGGAAATACTTTCTTATTCAATTGAATGAGAAAGCGTGTCCAAAATAGTGAGTGTTGCGGTGTGTGTGTGTGTGTGTGCCCCCCCATATATATATATATATATATATATATGAGATTCACACACACACACACACACACACACACACACACACACACACACACACACACACACACACACACACACACACACACACACACACACACACACATATATGTCTGTACTGCTAGTGTGATTACGATGAGCTACTAATTAGTCACAAATACATCCATTAAATGAACTGAGTCAGGCTCTTCTGACTCACTAAATGTAACCTCAAAAGGCACAAAGATACTTAAAAAGGCATCCACGTTTATCTTTAATCCTTACAAGGAAAGAAAAGTGTACATCTACCCTCCAAAACCAAAGCATCCCTTGAATAGAAAGTGCAAGGGTTCACTGGGCTGAAGTTCACCTTGGCTGGCTCTGCCGAGGCTTGGTACTTCTTCATCCTCTCAAACACTGAGCGATCAGCGCAGCCTCCCTCTGGGCCGTACTTGTGCGGGTAGTCTGAGTGAGAGAGAAAGACACAACGCGGTTAGGATTATGCGAGACAATGTTAGCTACTTAACCCCCTGAGTCTCTCTATTTCGGGCGCTATTTGTGTTCGGCTAATGGATGTACTTACACGCCACTTGAGCCAAGCTTTGCAATGTGAGCGGTTACTTTCTCGTGGCTCATTAGCGGCCCCGCTCACATTTCGGTTTAATTTGCCCCTCAGCCTCGTGCTATATGTACACAGGGCAATTGAAATGATGGGGTGCCAGCGTAGTGAAGTATCCTCGGTGCTCATTCTCAGCCAATTGCATCCAATTACACACACTCGATGATTACACCTTGTCGGAGCATTTGTGTCGCTGAAGTTGCTGCGCACTCACGTATGTCGTCTTCGTGGTAGATGACGGAGTGGAAGGGCACGTCTTTGCCCTCCAGGTATCTCTCGACAGGCTCCACGTAGTAGGCGCCCTGGTAGCTGTGGATGAAGCCCTCAAACTTACCCTCCACGATGGAGCCATGGGTCAGGGTACCTTTCTCACCTGGGAACCCGAACGCCAGATGTGAGGTGATTCACACCAGCGATACGATTAGACAGCGGTGTTAAAATGAGAAGGGCGGCCTTACCGTAGATTTCTCCAGTGTAGATATGAGAGGTATCGAATGGAATCTCGCCTCCTGAAACTTCCACCTTCAAATCAGGGGCAAACATGGTTGTATCTCTCTTCATTCGCAAATTAAAATGCCTGAAATCAAAGAAATGAATTCATAGGCACTTGAATGCGACGACCAAGGCTAGAATGTGGGGGGGAAAAAGTGTAATCCATATAAAGAGGTTTTTCTCCATTTGCTGACATTATTCCATTCACGCAGCGCAAACATCTGGGTTTGGGTATTACTTTGTGCACGTTGTTTGAGGAGAAAAAGAAAAAATGGAAATGGAAAAAGGATAAAAAGGAGGAAGGAAGGGTATTGTTTGGCACGGAGAAAAGGGTCCAGTTGCAGAGGGGAAACTGCAGTTATCTTGTAAGAGCGAGAACAGAAAATTAGGACATTTGGAAAAAATGGGTTGCATGTAACACCTACACAGTGCTCCTATTGTGTGCTCTTATAGGCCGTAAGCAACTGTTCTGTTTGTCAGACACAGCAGGAAGACAGGAGTCTTGAGATCGGACAGCAATGTCAAAACTGGAGTTGATTTGACATAAATCTGGTATACGTAGGGAACCTTTGCCGTCGTCTCAAGGGAGAAATGTATACGTTTAATTCTCTTAGATCGCAAAACAAGCAAAATGAAATGTAGGAATTTGAGTTGCATCTTGAACTTTGGCAATAAATCCAAAGAAAAGAGGTTGACACATTCCGACTTTTCCTAAAAACGGACATCTTCCTTTTCTGTGTTTGTTTGCACAGCGCTTATTGTTTTCTTCTCTATTAAGCAGCGTGAGAGTCGGGGAACAGCAGGAGGATGACAAACAGCCTTTGCAAAGCTTCCAGCCAGATGGACTTGACTTTGTCACGGAGAAGCTGGACACTTTCTATTGGTAACATCACCTTTTCAAAGTACTGGATGAACTGCCATGACAAAGACAGTGTGCCCGTCCATCCATTGTCTTTAGCTAAAAGGGGTTCCCACCCAGGTATCAGGTGTACAGAGACACTCTGGAAACACCTGATCCATCACAGGCCAAATAGCATACATACCAACGTATCAACAACTCCTACTTCACCAGCACGTATTGAGATTGTGGCATCAGAACAAACCCAGAGCAGGGGTGTGACTTACAATATTATCTATTAGCAATCCATTCATTCATTGTTCAGGTAAGGTTAATGTCTTCAGATTTTCCCCAAGCCCGAAAACAATCATCCGTTTATTATTTCATAAGAGAAAGAAAAAGCAGGTCTCCAATGTGTGAATATGATGAGTAAATAAAGCTGCATACGAGGAGACAAAAAATACAGATAGAAATATCCATCCAAATAGAATTTCCCATGAAGTTAATGTTGGCAATCGACAAGAAAATTGACAAACCTTCCATGGGCGTGAAAATCTAAATGTAGGAACTTGTCTTCATGCGAGATGGCTCTCTTGGCCCGCTGGTGGTTGCTGTGCACCAGCTCTGTGTCGTAGGAAAGGCCTTCATAGTGACGGATGTACTTGTTCAGGGGGTTTCTGTAGTGTCCTGTGTGAAAAGAACATCAGCGATAAACATGGAAAATGCATATTATGAAAAAGCACATGCTTACACGTTAATAACTCAGGGATATAGATCATTTGTCATTTATTTGGGGGTTGCAGATATATGAACAATAGGTAAGGAGATCAAAGTGGAATATAAATGCACCGGAGAACTCATTAGACCAAAATAAAATAAAAGCTTTCAAAAAAAAGGTAACATATAAATGATGTATTCAGCTTACCACAGAGAACTAGAATGCTGCTTTTGATTGTCACACAACATATTTCAGGTGCAGATGGTGTTTGAGTTTTTAAGGTGACATCAAAGAATAACAGCTACGTTTCAGAGTGAACAACTGAGGCATCGTCCATAATTAGGAACAATGCAAGGACCCTAACCACTGCATGAGCCATCAGGTATTTGACAGGCAGGAATTAAGGAAGTGAAAGTGACAGCAGCCCTCTGTGGTCGGTTTTAAAATATAGCTGAATACGTTTTAAGTGGAACGGATGCCAGTTTTGAAGCGGTGAACAACAACAGCCCCCAGCGTCACGGTGCAATGATTTCACCACCACAGGAGTGGGTGGTGGGCTCAAAGGAAAACCAGTCCCACCAATTTCACCCGCAGCGTCAATTATTAGTAGCCGGAAAAACGCGATTTCAGGGAAAACGAGATGCATTTCATTTCCCTCAGAAAGTTGCTCTGTTAAAACAGTAACCTGAGCGTTTTGCCAAGTATTTAAGATCAGATTTCCTCCACTTAAAAAACCTAGACGGTATTTAATTTAATACTAAATGAGTAATTAATACGTCTCAGAGGTAATCATGCCTGACAGGAGAGCCATAAATGATGGGATTCAGAGGAACTATGTAAGGGACATCCCTAAGTAGTCCAGGCCTCAGCTTCTTCTCTACTCATGTGAAATATGAAATATTTACGTGGCAACATTAAATGTTTCATTGGGGGGCACGATGAAAAGTAAAGGCCGTGATCATTAGGAGATATTCGAAAAAGAAAAGATAATGACATTTCTGTGAACATACAAAACAACCAGATTATTAAAAATATATAAACGATACAAAACAAGTGTCCGAAGGTGAAAACATTACAAGTATTTAAAGGCCAATTTACAGAGAGAAACCTGTCAAAGTGAACAAAGTTACGTCTGATACCTTTGACAGTTCGACAAGGGAACGCAAGGAAGATCATTTAAAACACACGAAAATATATACGCACCCCACAACTGTTCGATATTTTTATAGAAGTACATTTGAGTTACTGAATCAAGACGATAGCGTTGCGTTAAATTAAGAGAAGGCGACCGTGGCACAAAGTACCGAACAGTCCCAGAGCAGGAGCCCAATCGGCGGCCGCCAACATGGACCCTTGTCCGCCACATCGCTTGTAAGCCCTGGCACGGGGCAGGTGACACAACTGAGGCTACGGGTTTCATTGTTTTGACAGCTAATCGTAACGTTAGCGGCTAAAGTGTTAGCTAGCGCCGGGCTAACGGCTGGTTAACCCGGTCGGCGTCTCTCCATCTTCTCACAACAATGGCTGTCGGCGCTATTCGCACGATAACAACAAAAGCGAGTCGAACCTGGCGATTGAAACGGTGACAACACGCGGACATAACTCGTCTATGTCGGTTTATTTCTATCAACCGCACGGACCCAAGTCATCTTTCACTCTATAGGTATTTTTTTTTGGTTGCTCGAAGTAACACGGCAAAAAGGGTGCAGTCCTCTTCACAACAAGCAGGCCCCGTTGATCCTTCCGTTAGCTAACCGGCTAACAGCCTTTCTGCTCCTCTTAGCTTCATGTTTCCACACAACTTAACGTACCGTTTTCTCTGTAAAACCGCTCACTCACCTTGGGCGTCGTCCAGTAAACACACGAAAAGGAGAACTTTCAAAAGAAGCATGTCTGACAAATCCATTGTTAGCACATTGATACCGTTTTCACTTTATTGTCCTACTTAGATAGGCGCAGACGCCCTGTGTGTTTATTGCACCTTCCTCTCATCGCCTCCCCTCTCGCTCTCGCTCTCTCGCTCTCCAGCGTCGTGACGTCAGACGCACGGCAGCTTTGGGATCCCTTCCCCTCCCCCCAAATGTGCCCATGATCCAGGACCGCATTCATCCCAACACGCCCAGCCGCAGCGCTTCTCTGCCTAGGTGCAATGTAACGTCTGCGACGTACACGTCGTGCACCGCAACGTGCTCCCCAAGAGGATCGTTATAAAACAAATAAAAGGACATCACGGTTTTCTTTTAATATTTTGATGTTAACATTAGTTTTTACTATTTAAATTTCAAGACAGTGGCATTTGCATTTTACATTTTTTATTTTTTGAGTCTTGATAGAAAATTATTTTAAAAAGCAGTCCTACGTTTCAGCTTCTTACCTGTGAGGATCTGCATTTGATCTGCATGTGTTGACTGAATAATTTGGGTTTTGGACCGTTTTTTTGCAGCAGAAGAAGCAACAATGTGATGATAACAACTTTGGCTCTAGGACACTAATCCTTAATATTTATAGACCCAGCAATTAATCAATTAACGCTAGAGGCGAGAACAACCAGCAAGTGTGTGCACAATGACAATTTTCTTTGATTACAACTCTGTTATTTCAACAGCAGGTTTTTTTTTTTATCGCCATAATATCACAGTAATTACTACACAACAAAATGTGAATATTCGTTGCTTGGCAACCTGAGATCCTGAGATTATAGCATTACCAATGAAAAGGAAACACCATGCCTTTGGTGTTGATGTTGGTAGCATATCCTGTCATGCATCAGCTCTGAATTACCTGTAGGCGAGTTATTTTTGATCTTCATCTAAGAATACATTTCTCCCCGTTGAAGGCAGCGTTTTTCCTGATGTTAATCCCACGCATCACAAGGCACAATCCCTGCCACGAGATTGCCTATATTGAAGTAGGGACACATTTGTGATATATGTCGTTGATGAAAAAAATCAACATATGTTCAAAATAACACAGAATCAGAAAGGTTTCCAGAACGTTTACGTTTTCAGTTTCAGTCTGTTGCTGTTTATGATTTGGACCACACTCGGATGAATTATCAGCGACGTCTCATCCGTCAGTTTGTGTCCGTTCATTCCAGGCGAGCTCCTCTGGCTCCAGTTGCCGTCACGTGACACACCTCCACGTCCGCCCCCAGCTTCTTCAGCTCATCCAGCCATATTTGTTGTTTCTGTGAAAGCCGGTCAGTGGGGCCCTTCACCTCGACCAGCTACAACAACAAGACACCACCGATGTCACATCGCACAATGCAGTACACCGCATGTGTCCAGAGAATCTGTCACCACGGAGTTTATGAATCTGCAGACACAGTAAGATGTGATCTCACCTTGCAGCTGTTGTTTGAGGCGTTCCACACCACTAGATCAGGCAAACCCCCGCGGCAGTGTCTGTAGTCTTTGGACATTCGTCTTATTATCCCTCCTAAGAAAGCTCCACCCAGGCAGGACACCAGAGACTGCAAATAGAGTCATGTTTATTGCTGAGCTTCTCGTATTCAATCCCCCCTTGTTTTTACATAGAACTTTATCATCTTTGTAACGGTATACTGCATTGCAAAGCTGTTGAGTGGCATAGCATTTTGCAGGTATAATTAATAAAGTGTTTATTTATAAGAGTGACAGTAAGTACCTTGGCCTGTTGAAGTGATGAGAAACGCTCCCAGCTGACCAGTGAACACACTTTACCCTCCTGGGAGGTCCAAACATCTTCCAACATGTCATGCAGAGTCTCCACTGATGACTCACTGAGCAGCTGCACACGCGTGTCGATCGCTTCTTTCCTGTTCTCATAGAAACGGTCAGTGTAAAGATCCAGCGGACATGTCTGTGGGAATAAAAGGAAAGTGAGTTTGAATTGGATTACGCGGATGCATAGATGTCGTGCGGATATTAGAAAGGCCAAGCTAACCTGACCTGGTAAGAATTCCTGAAAACATCTGGAATGCCCTCCATAAAGATCACGTCCCACAGCAGAAGACCAAACAATGTTGAGAACGTTGAGCCCTCTCCATGGATCCCTAGGACATTACCGTTAGCAAAACAATGTAAATGTATCAAACGGATACCGGACCGGATGTTTAACGGGTGAATCAGAAGTGCTTACCTTGGTCAAAGCCTTGTTGGTGGTAATGTGCTAAAGACAGCTCTTCCACAGAGCATATTACGGTGGCCTCGGCACTCTCGTCCCCTTCATTTGCTGGTAAAAGAAACTTGGATTTCCCCATGCCCCCCTCATGAGGGAACAGCTGTCCCCGGATGGTCACCTGTAGGCAAAAGTACTAACATTAATTCATGTACCACTTTTTCCTGGTAATCCCAATACTGACACATCGCGCTGAACTCACATGCGTGACATCTTCGACTTGGATAGTGGGCAGGTCTTTAAGTTGAAGGCGATACTTCTTCATGCTGGCAGACTCGTTCATCCGAACAGCTCTCTGGTGCAGAGAAAGTTTATGTCCAGTTCGCACAAGAGGGTCCGATAGCCCGTCTCTGATAGCACAAATTGCCTGTGAGCAACGGGAACAGACCCCGTTAAATAAAAAAATTTAAAAAAAAGAGTAAAACATAATGAAATGCTCTTAAAGATGTGGAAGTAACCACAGACGCCGGTGCTCACTTGCTCAGGTTTCTTTAGGTGCTGGTGAAGGTTCAGTGCCAGTCTGTCCCACCATCGCCCTCGGCTGTCAGGACAGTAAACAAACTGCGACAGCAAAGACCGCAGCTCCTCTACTGCTTCCTGTGACACAAAAGTAGACCCATAATATCTTCAGGTACTGTTTGCATGATGTCACCTTCATAAATACTTCCATTTCTGTCAGTGTGTGGGTGGATACGGTCAGAAAACCTCGTAATGACGTAGCCTTTGCAGGATCTCCACCCCTCTAGATAAGATCCGGGTGTAAGCCCATCCGGTCGTGAAGCTGCGCAGGAACACAGGCAGCTCCTCCTGGGGACTGTCCAACGCAATGGCACCGTTAAAACTAAACAATACACAAGGAGTCTGTATCGCTGTTTTGGACGGAAACAAATACATATTTATGTCACCTGAGGTCATGGTTTTTCCTCAGCTCCTGCCAGACCCTTTTGGCTGCGGTGTAAAGCTCCATGGCTTCTTCCCACTGACCTCCCTGCATAGCCGACCCTACCTCCTGCAGAGCTCGCATAGATGCTTCGTACCTGTGACGGATTGGAGTTGTGATTATGTATCCCTGGCTATCCTGCGTAGATTTAACCCCACCGAGCGGACCTGATGAGATCGTCTCTGTCCTGGAACACCTTGGCCTGGCGCTGCACCGTGTAGTCTGGGAAGGCCAGGCGCCCGGAGTTAACCAGCAGGATGGTGAAGAGCTGGCTCTGCCCACCGGCCGCCATCTCCTCTTCATCCATGGTGTCCGTCAGAGAGAAGAGGAGGAGGATTCGAGAGAAGACGGCTCGCGGGCCGCGACGCAGGCGCACGCAGGAACCCGCGAGCTGCTTTGCCCTGCGAGGATACAGAGAACCTGGGTCAGATCACGACTGCGGTGTGAGTGCCGCGAACGAGCACGGCGGAAGCGATCAGCTCACCGTTTGAGGATGACGGCCCCGATGCTCGGCTGAGCCGGGGTCAGAGAGAAGAGGCTCTTTTGCCGGCTCAGACGGAGAAGCCCGTCCACCAGCTGCTGTTTCTGAGTCCCAGAATTGCCCAAATGGAAAGTCTTGGCCAGAGCTTTGAGCTCAGGAGCCGGCAGGAGATCCAGAGCCTCCCCCAAATCCTGAAGGTCACTCTCTTAGTGGGAGATTAACATGAGAACAACCAGAACATTGAGATATTTTGGTGAACACATTTCACGGTGTTACCAACACATTAAAAGCATAACTATACAAATGCAAAAGGTTTCAATTAATACTCTTAAAGATGCTCCAAGATGACAAAATATTATAGGGATTATTTACCTGCCTGCAGGAAACCACTTTGAACCAGCTCCTCAGCAACAGGCGCCAGATCACTGGATATCTGTTCATAATCCAGTTTATTGACTTGGAGCCACTTCAGTTTGCGCTGAAAGAGTCTCACATACAGCTTCTGTCCCGTGACTTTGAGAGGAGAAATGCATGTGAGAGATAATGACAAATGTCTGCAAAGAGTCTTTGAGAACTCTGAAAAGCGTTCTATAAATAAAATGTATTATTATTATTATTATTATAAGACCTTATATTAAATAACAAGAACAGACTGAAGCATACCCGAGAGCTTCTCAAAGGCCTGCACGAGTGACAGATCCTCCTGGTTGAACAGTGACCTGTCGTCGTCGTTCTCCAGGACCGCTTGCAGGACGGTCTTGAAGTTACGCAGGTAGTAAGGAAGCTGTGGCGGCCGAGAGCTCTCTGTTTCACCCCCAGCGACGACCTCATGACCCGACTGGGCAGGTGAATCACCATTAATCGCCGCTGCACTTTTCTCGCGCGTGTCCTCCGGACTCAAATGTCCCTCCCAGGTGGTGCGAGACGGTGCCTCTGTTTTAAGCTGGTCCGTATCGGGTGTCTCTGCTACAGCCGATAACCCCTCACGGGACTCCCCGCTGCGGCCCTCATACTTTGCTTTCTTCTCCTTCTTGCCAGTGGAGGGTTCCTTCTTTCTCTTTGAGAGTTTGGAAGAAGACGCGGGCAGTTTCGGGACGGTCTCTAGTTTCGATGCTTTCTGCTTGAGGTCAGGTCCTTTAACTGAACAGGACGAATCTTCCAGCACCGGTGTAGTATCTGCGCTAGTTTCTGTAAGGTCAATAAATGTCACGCCATCTTTGTTGTCTTCTAAACTCTGAAGATTTTCCTTCTGTGAGCTCCCGAGTGCCTCAGAACTCAACAGGGAATGTTTGTCTTCTGTAGGTGTCCTCTTGGGACATTTCAAAGATAACTTGGAGGGAAGTCTTCCCAAGTTCTTCCCGACCCCACTTGTACTTTTAGCCTCCCGTGGTGCCTGCTCGGAGTTGTTCTTTTTGAAATACGGGCTGGTCTTCGTCTCTTTGACCTCCTCTTCATTCTCCGGGTCCAGCTTTGGGGATTTGGGGGGATTCCTTCCTGGTGACAGCTGCCTGCTTGGTACAACACTATTCCCCGCTGAGGCGGCACTGCTGTCTCCTCTCTCAAAGTTCTGACATTGCAAATCGATGTGCTCATTGATCTTGAACCTCGGTACAAAGTGGCCACAAAGGGGGCAAGCCAGCTTAGGCGGAGGCTGGCTGCTGAAGAACGAGGTGATCGGAGATGATGAGGCGGCAGCAGCACTGGCAGAGACCCTCCCGGCTTTCTTCTTGCTCTTGGACAAGGACAAACTGCGTCGGAGTTTGTCTTTGTTGGTTCTGTCGGTCATGATGCGGGCGGTGGTGGTGGTGCTGTTCGATGACAACCGTTACGTGTTTTTGGAGCTTTTCTTTGCTGCATGCTTTGAGGAGAACGATCTGTGTGTAGACGGCGTCGATGGTTAATGCTACGGTTCTATTTGGCTAACGTTAGCTCGGGAGGAGACACTTTTAAACTGTTGCGTTGGGGGGGGGGAAGCTCAACTAATTCATTTAAGTAGTGTCGATTTAAGAGGAAAAAAAGACAACATACCAGAAGAAGCGCTGCAGTGCTCGATGACAACAATCCCGCTTTTCAGGCTCAACCAGCGGAGCGCAGAACGCGTCTCAGGGTGTACTAATCGATCCCAACGACATCGATATTTTCTTCTAAGGTACATATATATATACATTCAAGAGAATACTGTTCTTGATGTTGGATGTTTATTTGTATACATGTATTTTTTTTAATGAAAGTTAATACGAAAGTGAACAACAGCTCAACCATTGTATATAAATGGCACCTTTGTTACAGTGTTAAATATTTAAGAAATTGCTGTTACCAAACAAGTGTTTTATACTCGAATTATATAGGTAAATTACCGCGGTGTTTGTTTGACTATATGCGTTTATCACGCCTGTAACTGTGTGATTTGTTGGGGGACAGAGCAGGGAGCACATGATGGGGGCTGTATTTTCTACACAGGTTCCTGGGCTGCTTATTCAAAAATCATCATTCCGGAGAGCAATCTCATCTGATGAGCACGCGGGCATTTAACGAGCAGGGCCGCCGACAGGACTGATGTCGGTAAGTGGCTCGTGGGATTGTCTGCGTATGGACGGAGGGGTGGAAATGTGATAGTAATGCGTGTGGGCCTAATCGTGTTGCATTAAGAGACCTGAAGACAATGCTGGATGTTCTCCTCTGGTTCAACATCAGCCCACAGGCTGGATGTCAGCATGGTGCAGTCTCAAGGCTTTGAATCAAGGTCGATGTGAATCGTAGCAGGAGGATGATATTTGCTTCGAGATGGTGAAACCAGCCGGTAGTGCGCGCGTGTGTGTGTGCGTGTGTGTGCGGGGAGTCGTGTCCATCCCTGCGTGCTATTTAGCCTACGTAGGAAAACCATATATCCAATTATGTTATCGATATTTTGGCAGATGGGAACGCGGCGTCCACTTGTGTAACCGGAGAAACCACAACAACCACTTTTGCATGTGCGGCAAAAGTTCAGCGTAATGGGTTTAATAGAATACCACCAGAAATACGTCAAGGGCAGGCGAAGTGCGTGAAATCATTAATGAGCGCTTCAGCACCATGGAGAGGTCATGCTTAGGTCCGCGTGCTGCAGCTACTGTATCGGAGGGGATCCGGATTAATAACCTGCTCGTAATACCATCATCTCATTTGCATTATTAGCTGATTAGCGCTGGATGTTTTTTGGATTGTGTAACAGAGCAATCGCGCGGTTTGTTTTGTGTCGTCCAGTTCAGCTTCATGTTTAAATGAGGGTGTTGACATGCGGCTGGGCGGGTATCAGACCACCGTGTTCAGTGTGATACGTGCGATAGATTCAGTATGAATCATATATCATGAATCATTTTTTATTTTTATTTTAGCATTGAGTGTCTGAAGTCAGTGAGAAACACCCATCGCATGTTTTCCAGAACAACAAAAGGGCTTTAAAAGGCTTTTTGTGTCTGAAACAACAGTCCCAAAACTCAATGAAGAGAAACGTCCAAATTTGAGAGGGTGGAACCAGTGAATCTTTTTTTCAGATGGTTATTCAAATTGTTGCAGATTGACCGTCACTCAATCAAATGATAAACCCTAATGTCCTCCGTTCTTATTGAATCAATTCAGAGATGGTGCTCGGATGTCAAAATATTAATGCGCTGTCCCACAATCGTTTCCTAAAAGACGACACCTGAATGGATCATAAATCAGACACTTTCAACAACCACAATATAAATGCTTCAGGGATAAGTTAAGTAAGTGAAAATATATTTTTGTAGATTAACAATTATTTCACACAAGGAATGATCTGGCTTTCAGTGTATGAAAGAGGTGATTCAAAATCTTGGAAAAAGGCCAGTAATAACACCTAAAATATTGACTCCTGACCCTCTGTGCCCCCCCAGTCCAGGACTCACTAAAGTATCCAAGAAGAGCACCACGGTTTGGTGAGGGAGGCGACTGACAAACCACGGAAGACGTTGAAGGATGATAACGAAGACCAGCTGATTCATCCTGTCCCTGCAAGCCTCTATTACATGAGTTGTGATCCTAGTCCCGAGGACATGGAGGACACCTGCTCTGAGTACGACAACGTGGGCTCTGATGTTGAGCAGGACTATGATGAGGTGCTGCATTTAAACAAGGAGGGCGTTGTGGATAAAAGGTACTACAAGCAGTACTCTCCCGAGGACGGTGGCTTTGTACAGCCTGCAGCAGGGGATAATATTAGTGAGAACAGCAGTGCTGTTGACCAGTTGGCTCCCAGTCCTTGTCAGGGCAAAGAAATATTTGAGGGATCCCGACCAGAGACTAAGCCTCACAAAACAGGCCATCGCTTTAGATCCCACTGTGCTGCGATTGTAGTGGATGAAGATGACAGGGAGGTGGGAAAAGGCCAGGAGAACAGATTTTTCTTCACTGATGGAGATGAGATAGAAGAGGTGCTGGATGGGGCCAAATTTATAGAGGATTTAGAGGAAATGGAGAACACTGTTCCAAGGAGGAATAGCTTATACCAGGACAATGGAAATGAAAGAATTAGGAAGGCAGGTGATGAAAGAGAAGATGACACTCGAGTCACGAGAAACCATAACATCCCAGGAGCCAGAAGGAAGAGTGAGTCCTCCCGCATGGGTGCAAAAGAGAAGGAGAGGCAGGGTAAAGGACAAGGGAGGAAGGTAACCAGAGACGACATGGAGCGTATTGTGTCCGGGATCAAAGGAAGCACGGGCAGCAGCATTGAACAGCGTCCAAAGACCTTGTCAAAGGACTCCAAAAACTGTGCCATGCGGACCAAAGCTAGGTCTGCTTCCAGTAAGCCACACCCTCCTCCACCACCTCGTCACTCCCGCGCTCAGCCCCCTGCTCACACCCAGAAGCCCCCTCCTATCAAGGAGACTCCCCCAGTTCCCAGACCCAGTCCCCCCTCTGCTGCCAGCCGGGAGAGGGAACCAAGGGATATCAAACCATCCCTGGCTGCTTGCCGGTCACCGGAACAACAGAGGGAGCCTTTTGCCGAGAGGGAGAGATGGCCAGAGAAAGACCAGCAGGTAGTCAGTGCAAATAGGGCGAACCTTTTTATCGTTCCCCGTGTCTTGTGTTCTGTGAAATCTACCATCTTAAGTACAATTTTAATTACATGATTTTTGACAAATAGTCCTTTTCTATTTCTCCCCATTGGGTTATCATCGACACAGGACAATATAAACCTTTGAATAAAATCTTGCTGAAGTTAAAGCAGATGTTTGTGTACAACAGGGGGAGAAGCCAAGCACAGCTGTGATACCCGAGTTGATGCCTGAGCCGCCGAGGAGGCCTCCGTGTCCAGAGCTGGTCCCTGAGAAGGACAGCAACACACCCAAGGTTAAGACTCATGGCACAAAAGGAGATATCTTATCAAAGATGGGATCAAACCACTTTTATTATTGTAGAGGTTTTTGCTAACTAGCCTGTTTTTTTCCTATCTTTGGCTTTTTTTATTTTTTTCAATATTTCCTTGATAGGGCTAAAATGTCTTTTCGGCTATCATTGCCATAACAGAGTTGTCCACTAAAGTCTAATTTTTTGACATGAACTTTTTTTAAAGAACACACAGGAAGCTGCTTCTTTCCCCAGCTTTGAGGATGGTAATTATCTCATAATATTCTGCCTAACCTATTTTTCTATTGCAGCACATTACTGTGCTTCACAACGAGAGCCTTTTGTTTCGCTGCATAGTCCCAGGTCCCTGTGAGCCAGAGGATCTCATTGATGGGATCATCTTTGCCGCTAACTACCTTGGCTGCACCCCGGTGTCGTCTGATAAAAACCCATCCAAGTCCGTCCGCATGTCCCAGGCGCATGAAGCTGTCAGTCACATCAAGGTAATCTTTTTCTTTCAGTTTGATTCAGTTTGAACCATATTCAAGTCTGCCAAAGATGCTGCTGCACCGTGTCTTCCTGTGTGTGTGTCTCAAGAATGTAACGACACCCCGAGCAGACGGATGGCTTTGTGTCGTGAAGAACTGATTCGAAGTGGGGTGGCAATCTGGGATTTTCAGCCATTTGAAAAGTTACCTTCAGAGAGACTGCGTCCCCATTCTAAGTGTGCGTTTGCAGGTTTAACAATACCTAGTTGGTTAGAAACAACAATTCTAATGTGCACCTGCTGATGCTTGGGATCCCAAAGTGGCTTTAACTATGGATTTAAGTGGAGTTCACATACTCGTATACGTGTATTGCCGTCTGATTGATGTAAGAAGAGGCAGCAGGCGCATTTCTCCACCACACGGTGGAGCCGCTGCATTCCTTTTGTTCTCCCCCGCACAGGTTAGCTGTGGTAATGAGCTGAACGTTTGCATTGTGAGATACAAGGAACGCAATATTAAATGTCTGATGAAAACAATACGTCATGTCTTTCAAAGAGCCAAGATGAAGAATCTCACATGATGACGGAAGTGGATCTGTTTATTTCCACTAAAGCCGTGAAAGTGTTGAATGCTGACACACAGGTCAGTAACTCGCTGTGTGCTGATTCAGATTCCCATCTGTGCTACAGTGATTTTCAGAATCAATGATTAAACATTGTCACGCTTTTTGTCCTGTAGGAGACAATGATGGACAGTGCCTTGAGGACCATCTCCTATATAGCCGACATTGGCAGTATTGTCGTTCTGATGGCACGGAGGCGCTTGTCTCCGGCCTCGTCAGAGGACTTCTCAGACTCTCCCGACGCTGCCAGCGAGGGGAAGAATCAGTACAGGATGATCTGCTACGTCTTTGAGTCGGAGGATGTGAGTGTCTGCTGCTGAACTGCTGAAACATTTGTTGTTCGGGGTTTTCCCCTTTTGTTTTGTTTTAGATCTTTGTCACTGAAACATTGTGATGCTGCTGTCATTTGGGATGAGTAGTAGCCTCTCTGCCCGAACTCACCCCTTCCCCACAGGCACAGCTCATTGCTCAGTCCATCGGTCAGGCCTTCAGCGTGGCCTACAGAGAGTTCCTGCGAGCCAACGGCATCAACCCCACCGACCTGAGCCAGAAACAATACAGTGACATCATCAACAACCAGGAGATGTACCACGATGACCTCGTCCATTTCTCAAACTCAGACAACTGCAAAGAGGTGTGACATTTTATATTTGGCTGCAGGTGAATTGTAGGATTTCCCTAAACATAAATCCCTGCACCACAGAAAGCTTTACAATCAAAATGTGCTTGAAAACGATTGAGAAAGGCTTCCTCTTTGTTGCAGCTGAATGTGGAGAAGCAGAAAGGGGAGATGCTCGGTGTGGTCATCGTGGAGTCCGGTTGGGGCTCCATCCTGCCCACTGTCATCCTGGCCAGTATGCTGAACAGCGGCCCCGCAGCTCGCTCTGGAAAACTCAGTGTTGGGGACCAGATTATGTCCATCAATGAAACCAGCCTGGTGGGGCTTCCACTTTCCACCTGTCAGGGCATCATCAAAGTACGCAGCGTCCCGCAACTCGAGTTTCCGCATATGCAGTGTTCATTCAAAAAGGCCACTAGAACAAAATATTGGTGGCAGACTAGATAATATTTAATAGGAATGTTTAGGAACATCTCCAAACGGACCTGCCGCTCCCATGTTTTTATTCCACACACCTTTATTAATAAGTCATAGAAGAGTTTCCCAGGTAATCATCAGGCTTGTCCTTTTAAAATGACTGTAAGATGAACTTTCATATGATTTTTTTGGTCCAGGGTCTGAAGAATCAGTTGAAAGTGAAGCTGAGTATTGTGAGCTGCCCTCCTGTCACCACCGTCCTCATCAAGAGACCCGATCTCAAGTTCCAGCTCGGCTTCAGTGTGCAGAATGGCATCGTGAGTAAGCCCTCGTGGTATGCATCATCATGGTGAACTTTAGGATGGGGCATAATGGGAAAGGACCCGCTGTTTTCCACATCCTCAGATCTGCAGTCTGATGCGAGGTGGCATAGCCGAACGGGGAGGCGTTCGTGTTGGACACAGAATCATTGAGATAAATGGTCAGAGTGTTGTGGCTATGGCACACGAGAAGATTGTGCAAACCCTGTCTGTCTCAGTGGGTGAGGTAAGAAGACATCATCATCGTCATGCCACTGATTACCGCACCACACAGATCACTGTACCATACAGGCCTTTTAAAGTTTCAGGCACAGACTTTTGGTTAACTGCATCATTGCATTCTTGCATGGATTTAATCAGTCAATAAAAACAATAAGACACCGTGTTCTCCGTAAGGATTAAATAACAAAGACACATTGGCAATAAGTGTTATTTCAAGGTGTCTTTTCTGCACAATTATTTACACCGGCTGTTAACACACAGTGCCGTTGTTTTGTGTGTGGGATTTCCCCTGATTTCTCCCCGTCGACGCCTCCTTCAAGTCCAGAGAAGCATATTCTTTTTCACTAATGGATTTCAAGGTTTCCTTTGACTCTCGGGTGGCACAGAAAGGAGTGAATTCAACCTGGATTCAAGGGATGTGTTTGGACTGCGCCTCTGAGATTGACCGTGTACTTGTTGTTCCTCTCGTCTCTGCCAGATCAACATGAAGACGATGCCTGCTGTGATGTTCAGACTGCTGACAGGTCAGGAGACGCCTATCTACATTTAGGGACCCTGCATGAATCCACCCACTGTGGTTCTGCATGGCTGGCTGGGTGGGGCCGATGGACAGATGATGGAGACGTGACTTCCTGGAACGAGGGAAATTTATTTTTCTATCATTTGATTTTCTCGGCCTCTTGTTGCAATGCTGTAAAGAACATCCAGTTCTCATTTTCAGGTTTTACCTTGAATTACATTGTCACAATGGCCTTATGATGTGAATACTTTGTCTGTGGTACTGTGCGTGAGGTTCTGGCGTTGAAGAGAAGTAGCTTTATGGTCATGATTATTTTCTTATGAAGAGATAAATTAGTACATTTATTTTTATTTAGTCATTTTTATAATGTTTAAAAATGTACCTCTAGTGTAAATACTTTGGATTACTCAAGGATTTGGTTGGAAGGGCCATATTACTCCTACAGTATATGCATGTTATAAAGAACTACTGACAACGGATTCATTCTCAATCCGATATGATAATCTATTACAGTAAGTATTCAAAGATTGTAATATTATGCTGTACAAAGGCACTAAACTATGTGTTTTATGGTGATGCTGAAGGCCAAAGACACACCTACTTTTCACATGCAGTATTGGTCATCATTACCTTTAGCAGAGCGTACAGTGCAAGAATGTATCACAATATACATTACTGAATGAATGTAATGTTATAAGACACTAAGAATACAATCTTACAGAATCATTATTGTTGTTGTTTTCATTTTATTATGGTGGCCATACATTTTCCTGTATTAAAAATCAATGGTGCCAATCCCACAACAAAGGTGTTAACGAACAACGAACTATGTACAAATTAGACCAGAAATCCTGAAGAGACTTACAAAATTCAAGCAAAATTAAACTATAAATACTTTCAATTCTTAATGGAAAAAGAGTTATAATAGAACTATAATCTGTATTGATCAGTACATACACAGTGTATGGATCCCATACAAATTTACATATTTCACTGCACCATGATAATGAACTTTACTTACACAACTATTTACAGTTCATGTCTAACACACAATAGGCTCTCATAGAGCATTCAAACAGTAACACATTCAGCAGAAATATCGTCAAGCATTAACTTGATCCACAGAGGGAAACCACCAAGGCTTCATGTGTGCTCCTGAAACATAAATAGAAACAAGACATGTTAGTCAACAAGCAAAAAAAGGTGGATGTAGATACTAAATAGATATTACTGTGCAGGATTCATGAGAAATAGGGTGGGGTGGCCACTGTGCTACATCATCACATGAACCTGTACATTTATTTTTATTTAGTCATTTATGTATATGTGTGTATGTTTATGTATGTGTGTATGTGAGTTTAAACATTTACTTCTACAGTAATTACTTACAAGGATTCGGTTGGGCCAAATTACTCCTTCAGTGTGTGCATGTTATTATATTAAGAATTACTGACACCGGATTAGAAGTACGCTCTCCGTGTCGCCACTTACCGCCGTGACTTTTGATGTAAGTGGTAAAACTGTCACTCCATCAATAAAAACGGTGTTCAAGTAGCCCTCCCCATAATACACATCCTCGTCTTCGTAACTGTCGACGCCAACACTGAAGGCCTCTTTCATTTTCTCTGGCATTAGAAAGTCCAACAAGGCCACCAGAGTCCCGATGACGGCACACAGCAAACCTGGGAAACATTTCAGTCAGTAGAAATCTTTTACAGCACGACGCACATGAAGAGAATGTGCAGCTTCTCGTCGTTGGGGGTTTCTCAGTAACTCAGTAACCTACATGCTGTACTCCGCTAATCACAAAGGCACGGCGTTTTATTGTCTATCTTTGATCTGTCTGTCAATCGTGCTGGTCTATGACCTTCCTGGGGAGGGGGGAGGCGGGGTTGAGGGTGTTTCCCCGCTGAAGCTTCTTTTGGCGGGAGTGTCCTTCTGACTGGACAACCAGCAGCTTGGTCACACTTTATTGCTCTTCACAGGAGCAGGAAACTGTCCCTTTTCAGCAGACGTGAGTCATTGAACTCCGGTCTGTACTCGTGGATTGTTTATTCTTTATGATTTTATTCATATGTTAGTTTTGTAATAAATACTTTATTACACGAGGACATTATCGACTAGTTCCCACCACACTCGTCTTTACCTGTAGCCAGGGCCAGCCAGAATGAATGGCTGTAATTGATCTCAAAGGAGTCCGTTCCTATGCAGAAAACACACTGCGGTGCGTTCATGATGGTGGAGAAGGACGCCATGGAGAAGAAGATGAAGGCGGCGGTGGCTATCATCATGTAGCCAGCGTACAGAATGACCGGCATGGTGAAGAGGATATTCGCTACCAACCAGCAGCAAAACGCCGTCCTGTGAACGTGTGCAGCCGATTTAACATTCGTCCCCTCAAACTGAGAATATATGGACACAAGTTCAAACGGGTGGCCGTAGTTATTACCAGAGGGTTGCGGAGGCGTATCGTCCTGAGTATCTGTACTGAAAGATGAGTCCACACGGGCTGCTCAGGGTGAATTTCTCAGCGATGTACAGGATGGGGTTGGGTAAACCTCTCTCCAGGGCTTCCCCGTACTCTTCCTCCATAGACTCATGCCAGCTGAACATCTCATTGTAGTCAATGGTCTCATTGAACTGCACCACAGGATTCCCTGTGAGAGAAAACACTCTTTATGACCTTTATGACAGATAAGAATAGTTTGAATGCATCGAGAATTCCCGATCGTACCGCTGAGCAATCGTTTTACGGATGTGAGTTGTTAAAAACATCGGCGCTGCCAGCGTATCAGTTATTATGAACATAGCCGCGCGTAGCAGCAGCAGCAGTGACTCACCCTTGAGTGTCACATTAATGCCGTAGAGGCCGACATGCAAGCCGATGTCAGCATCAACCACCGCGTTGCTGAAAGACTTGTAGGTGGCATTAGTGGTCATCCTGGCCTCGGCCCAGTCGCAGGTGAAGTTGAGCGCTACAGAGAAGGGACGCAAAGTGATGAGCGGCGGTTGCAGGAAAGGGAGAATCTGGGATTAATTCGACAACGATGACGAGGATGTAAAACTCACCGACGATCACCGCGCCGATGAACAAGCTAATAATAATCCGACACATCCAGAACAGCCTCTGATAGGAACACAAAGAGCTTGATTGTTTAGGCTGAATTGAATCAAAAAGGAGCAAAACATTGAATGCGGTGAGTAACGGTTTGTGTGGCGCTTTGCACTCACCGACTTCCCTCGTATCCCGGGCAGAATAAGAAGAAGACTCGCTGCTAGCACGAGAAAAACCAGGATAACGGTGAGCAAGCCGCCACTGAAGATAAAGGAGGTCCTTTGTAGCGGGTAGAATGGGTAAATGTCATCGTAGAAAGTCATCTTAGCTCCTGAGTGAGACTAGACAGTGTAACAGAGAAGACAGTGTTAGTGGCAAGGCTCTCAGTTTCTTCCACAGGCAGACATAGTAGCACTTGTTCCTGGCGGCAGACACGGTATTACTGCCGCGTAACGCGGCACGCCGTGAAGCACGGCCATGTCTGACTCATGTAATGTCAGCGAAGGTTCCCTGACATTGTGTAGCTTCGCTGCAAATAAATGAACTAATCTCTAAACTAAACAAAGGGCTTGCCATTTTAGTTTGTCCAATTCACAGCGTAAATCTTGATCTTGATTTTAATGCATTTATTTGAACCGCAATGAAAATGAAAGTTTCAAACAAAACCCTATCGGAAAAAAAATCCAAATGTTCTTTCTTACCTGAAGGATGCAAGACGAGCGCGGCAGAAGAAGAATGAATATTTAGGGACCTCACACTTCTTTTATACTGACTGCCCCTTTTGTTTCCCTGAGGAGGAGGATGCGTTGACCGGAATTCCCCAGAAAAGAGGTGTGATCAAGAAGTAATGCCCATTCCCATCTTCGCCAACGCATGTCTAATGCAGTTTGTGATTAGACGTGCAATACAGGTTAACTGTAGGCATTGCACCTGCCTGCACCTGCTCTTATCTCCCTGCTGCACCTACCACGGTACTACTACACTTCAGCCTCTCCACTAGGTAAGACTCCACCATTGCATCTTCTCCTATCACACATTAACTGATCCAGGAAACATTTGTCTTTAAATGTCAGCTGTAGAATTCAACTTCCTCTCTTGTCTTTCTTGCAACAAAAAAAACAACTAAGTGTGTTATATAGAAATCTCACACAACTGTTACCTTCTGCTTGTCTTCCCTTTCCACAAGTCCTTCGCTCCCCTCGGCTGCAGATCGAGCCGAGGAGCATCTCTCGCTTCGATGGATTTGCGTAACCGGGTTTGGAGTATGTGCGCGGCGGTCGGCTTGGTGCTCATAGTCGGTGAACGTAAGTGGACATCACAGTCAGCGAGCCGGACAAGCGGTAAAAGTGCTGTTTGAACTCGACTTGTCTTAAAACAGAGTCGCGCTGTGATAAAACCTGGGAGGTTCCTCGCTTCGACGGCTGGTACAACAGTTTGGGATACCCCCGACGCGGGGCTGTGGGTGAGTTCCCGGGTTCAAGCACCCCCCAGGAGCCGCAGGAGCCCGCAGTCGAACCCACTTACTCACTCACGGCGCTCTGTGCCCGCGCAGGTTCTCGCCTGGTCCGCCTCGTGCCCGCGCATTACTGGGACGGAGTCTACCAACCCGTCCAGGAGCCGCCAAACCCGCGCAGACTGAGCAGCGTGCTGGCCGGGGGCCCCTCCGGTTTGCCCTCCACGCGCAACCAGACCGTGCTCTCTCTGTTCTTTGGTAAATATATCACGTGTTGCGTTTTGCGTTGAGTTGCACTGTGAGAAAAATACTGAATCCGAACGCAGAATTCACGCAAAGTGAACGTGTTTTGTGAGTTTGGATACTTTCTCTGTTGCGAATGTCAAAGTTGCTTTAAGTGAACTAAGATTTTACAAAGAAAAAAAAAAATGTTTTACATAGTTAATCAATTATGTGTTAATATGAAAGTAATCGGTCTGTAGTATCTTATTATTGTAAAATCAAACAAATGAAACATTTCTGGTTTTTGGTAAACGTTTTTTCTAATTGCTTTTATACTTCCTAGGTTATCATGTTTCCTTTGAAATTCTCAACTCAAGAAGTCCTGGGTGTCCACCTGAGTTCATGAACATCCCAGTACCAAAAGGGGACCCTGTCTTTGACTTCGGTGCCACTGGAAAAGTCCTTCTGCCCTTCCAGAGAGGACCGTGGGACAAATACTCCGGCCAGAGCCCCAGTAATCCTCGCACGCCGGTATCAATCTTAATGAAATAAATACTGCATTTGAACAGTATATTAGGATCTGCAGCAGCACTGAAAGCCACTTTGCATTATCCCAACATTTCCACGTTTACTCAAGTGCAGTAATTTAGGAAAAAAAACTATGTATCACACGCAGGTCAACCAGGTGACAACGTGGATAGATGGCAGCTCCATCTATGGCCCCTCTACGTCCTGGTCTGACTACCTGAGAAGCTTCTCTGGAGGGCTCTTGAATTCGAGCCCTGCGGGGAACATGCCAAATCTGTCAACTGGACGCGGTCTCATGTGGAGCGCTGCTGACCCCTCTACAGGACAACATGGACCTGATGGGCTTTATGGTGAGACGTTTTTTCATTCCCTTCAGCAGTTATTTCGAGTAAACTCAAAAGTAGTCAAACACATCTTCCTAAAAGTTGTTATATTGATATTTTGGTGGGAGCTCAATCCAAAACAATGGAGCTCTGCGACATTTATTATCTGGCCTTTAAAGCCCAAAAAGTCAAACGCAATTTCTCTTTCCAAAACTGTAAATGTTTCAGTGCGATGAGGTCATTATCACACACACAAACTAGTTGAATCGATAATAAATCAAACACTATCTGTCGGCGTGTCACTCAAGATAAGATTAAACATGTTTTAGAGCGTGTTTGGCTGAGCAATAAACAATTTCTCGCAAATATTACTTCAGCAATCAGGGTCGTAAGCCTGTGAGGCTTAGTCAAAAGAGGCCCTGCCTGACGTGAGTTATGACCCTTTAATTATTGCGTTAATGGCTTGTCACAGTCATCCCAGTAAATCCGCCTCTCTATAGCAACAGAGGATGCCGTACAGGAGTTGTGAAAGCAGTGTTTTGTTGCTTGTGTTTTTAAAAGGTGTGTAGTTATTATGTGGTCTGGGGGCGGAGGATCTTCTGATGTTGTCACCACTCGGTCGCTACGTCCTTAAAAGCAAACAGCCAAATTAACATTCCTTTTGTGGTCAAAGATCCTAATCAATAAATGCAACATGAGTGCGTAACTACACCTGAAATGGTTTTGACAGACTTTTGTTTGAGTCTTTTTCTCTGATTGCCTTTGTCGCTTGTTGGTTCACATGACGGGAGAGCAGAATTCCCTATAATTTATGCCATCTTCTGTCTCCAGAGTTGGGAAATGCCTGGGCCAATGAGAACACGTTCACAGCAGCAGAGGGTATTATCTGGTTTCGCTACCACAATTATTTAGCTTCCAAACTGCAGAAGGAAAACCCTGAGTGGTCAGACGAAAAGCTCTTTCAAAGCACCAGGAAGACCGTTGTTGCCACATTTCAGGTAGGATGGAAAGTCTCGGCGTAATTCATCCCGTGCTGTTGATTTCATTTGCACTCTGGAGAGAGTAAGGTTTCATCAACATTCGTTGATTTTTTATTAACAATTTGGTTTCAATTTAATGCATTGCACTCACTCACAACTGTCTTGAACTGTAGGCTTTCTTCTTCTATTGAAAACAATGGGTAACAAACTACATTCAAAGTGGGGTTTTTTGTCATATGAAATCAAAAATAGCAAGAGACACTTCACAAACTTAATACATTCATGTTCAGTTTTAGTAGATTGAGAAAAAACTGCAATAAATTCAATCCGTGTCTCTTTGCTTTTTTTCCACAAAGAATATTGCTCTCTACGAGTGGCTGCCTGGATATCTTGGAGACAAAAAGCTCCCTCCTTACCCAGGTGAGACTCAGCCCGAGTGCGTGTACGTACAAGTGGAGGGGAACAGGTAATGCACCGGTGACCACAAGCCGTGGTCGGGTGAGCTGTCGTGGTTTTTGACAAATATGTGCTCTGTCAGCAAAGCATCACCCTTCTTCTGCTGAATAAGCACCCGCAGCTGCAGAAAGTTAAAGGGACAATGATCGCTGACCATTCACTCTTATTTGGTTCTCCTCGTATTTGTTCGTCATTTTCTGACCTCTCTGTACAAAGGTTACCAGAAGTTTGTGGATCCAGGGGTCTCTCCTGAGTTTCAGGCCGCCGCCATCCGGTTTGGCATCACTATGGCCCCACCTGGTGTTTACATGAGGTACTACATGGTTGACGCGCTAACAGTTTCAGTCGTTTTTTTCGTGAACTGCCAATGGGCTGCTGTGATCACTGTCAGAAAAAATCTGATGTGCCAATTATTTTAAATGGAACCCGCTGCATTGGCTCTTCTTTCTTCTGCAGGAACAAAACATGCCATTTTAGAAAGCTTGTCAACACTGATGGCAGCTCATCGCCAGCAATGCGCCTTTGTAACAGCTTTTGGAAACGCCAGGTAAACTGTGATCAGACTTCTGCATTGAAAGCAGACTTCTGTGCCCATATAAACATCAGATGCTCTCTCCACCACTGTCTGACACTGTTTGCTTTGGAAATAAAGGAAAAGTCTTTCTTGAAAGTAATTGCATAACATCTTTATGAGAAAAAGAGCTGGCAACGACGTTATATTTAGTAAAATTATTTGCGGGAAGGATTTGAATCAGGATCTTTGTAGCTTCAGAGGCAGGAAAGTAAAACTACGTGGGGCTCTGAACTCAACACGTATTTTAATTACAAATCCCTTATATTTATTTTTTCAGACTCTTGATTCTCAGTTATGTTTTTCATTTAATAGCCAGTGTTTCCCTAAAGAATATTAGCAATATCTCTGATCTGTTTAATTGTACCTAGAGCGAGAAAACAAGACTTATATGCCTGTGTATTTTGTGCCCTGATGCCACTCACACGCATAGACATACATACGTGTGCTTTTTCCTTCTGTTTCCAGAAAGACGATGATAAGACAACAAGCCAGGACATAGATGACCTCCTCATGGGCATGGCTTCGCAGATTGCAGAGAGAGAAGACAATGTTGTTGTGGAGGACCTAAGAGGTGATAAATCATCCTGATCGTCCGGGGCTTTCCTGAATCCGGAAAAACGTAGTTCAAACGGCAGGCGTTCATTTCTCAACATAACTCCCACATACAGTCAAGCAATCACTAATAAACAATGGGAATCTATAATAAAATGACTGTGCATAATATTCATTAACCTGTTTTCAGGTTAAACACTAACGTTCACAGCTCTGATCTCATTTGCACCGTGACAGACTTCATGTACGGACCCATGAGGTTCAGCCGGACGGATGTGGTGGCCCTCACCATCCAAAGAGGAAGAGACTTCGGCTTACGTAGTTACAACGAGGTCAGAAAAGCTCTGAATCTGCCTCCTGTCGAGACATTCGAAGATATAAATCACAAGCTCAACAGCACCAACCCGCAGGTAAAATCTGAAAACCAAGATTGATCCACCTGCGTAGAAATAGTGGATTAAATTGTGTTCTCGTGTCCAACAGTTACTCAACGATATTGCAGAACTGTACAGCAGAGACATCTCAAAGCTGGAGCTCTTCACTGGAGGGCTGCTGGAGTCTCTGGATGGTCCTGGTCCAGTTTTCTCTGCCATAATCTTGGACCAGTTTGAACGAATCAGAAACGGAGACCGCTTCTGGTTCGAGAACAAACAGAATGGGTAAGCTCCTCTTACTTACTGACTTGAAATGAGAAACCTCATATGCCGATCATCTTATTACAGTTGTGATCTTTGGGGCGTTTTCCAGTCTGTTCTCAGATGCGGAGATCGGGAACATCCACAATGTGACCTACCATGACGTTCTTGTCGCGGTCACAAGTGCGGAAAAAAACGACATACAAAATAATGTGTTCTTCTGGAAGGATGGTAAATATGCGTGTTTGATTAACAGACAAAACTAGGATGGATTTTGAATCAGTGATGTAATGTTTAAAGGATGAATAAACAAACTATCTGTTGCCATAGGCGACCCTTGTCCTCAGCCCACGCAACTGAACGCATCGATGCTCCCTCCCTGCACCAACGCCACCAGGCTAAACTACTTTGACGGGAGCCAAGCTGGCTTTGGGATAGTCATCGTTGTTTTGTTCCTCTTTCCGGTTGGTCAGTATCACGCCCACGATTTCAAATCCATCTCCTTTTGCACGGCAATGCCTATAATTTACGCAATTCCATTTGATCGTTCTTCTTCCACAGTTAGTTTTCTGGTTGCCTACATGGTCGCGTATCTCCGCAAATACCGGTACAGGAAGTTCCAGAGAAAAAGAAAAGCTGTGGACAGAACAGAGGAGCCGGCTGTGGAAATTACAGGTGAAATATCCTTCGGGATAGCAGCCAGTATGTTTATCACCTGGTATTTGACAATAAGCATGAGCTTTTATGGTTTAAACATATATCTTGTTAACTAAGGAACGCTAAATTATCGTACCTTCAAAAGTGACAGTGAAACCCGATTGGAAGCCATTTCCCACCCGTAGTCCCCGTCATCACCCAGAAACCCGTCTTGCATCGTTTCGCTTTCGCTCTCCAGCCCACGAATGGCAGGGCCACAGGAAACCTCTGCAACCCGTCAGCGTGGAGCTCGATGAGAAGAGGAGACTGCAGGTCTTTGACCGGTCCGGGTCGGCCCACCGCTCCCTCAATCTGCGCGACCAGGACCACCTGGACATCCTTCTCTCCAGCGACCGGCAGCAGAAAGCTCTGCTGCTCAAAGTATCAAAAGAGTACGACCTGGTGAGCGGCGGTGGGAGTGGGGGAGAGATTTACACCCTCGGGAGAAAATCGTTTTTTTTAATATCTCTTATGTTGCTGCTGTTGCATTTTGCGTGAGTTTAAACATCAAATACATCAAATGCTTTTCTCCATTTAGCAGGATTCTGCAGATGTACCTGATATAAATCACTTTTATCTCACTCTACTACAAATCCAGGTGCTGTTTTTTGATGACGAGAGCAAACGCGCAGCGTTTGTCAAGTACCTGCGCCCGGGGGTGACGGATCCCGCTCAGGAGATTAGAGTGGTGGAGATGAGAGAGAGGGAGCTGCTGAAGGAGGCTTTAACCAAAGAGCAGAGGGCTCAGATTGTGGAAACTTTCATTCGACACGCTTTCTCTAAGGTACCGTCAGCCTCTGGACTCTTACCTCATCCTCCGGCGACAGCAGATTTAAGCTGGGCCACAGCATGTCGTCAATCCTTGTTTGAGGTCAAATTAGGTCTGACCTCCAACCAGAAGAACTAATTGTCGGTTTTGATGGTAACCTCAGCTAACGTCGGAGATATTACTAATAACACACCCTCTGCTGCACAGGTCTTGGAAATTGAGAAGAGTGACGCTGGAGACATGAGGGGCGTTTCCCACAAGAAGGCCAGAGAGGTTCTCGAATGCGAGCTGGCAGCGTCTGAGTTCGCCGATGCTTTAGGCCTCAAGCGCGACTCCCTATTTGTTGACTCCATGTTCACACTCGCCGATAAAGATGGGAACGGTTACCTCTCCTTCCAAGAGTTTCTCGATGTGATGGTTATCTTTATGAAAGGTACACTTGAGGTGTTGTGTATCTAGTGTGATGGAATGAAAATAGTACACGATGTTGTAAATAAAAATTGGACCTTGATTCCAGGTATATGGTTATTTTGAGGTTAAACAACACAGATATATTTGCAAAGACTTTACTGTAACTGGCCTGAGGATTTGAGCCGACATTTTTATATTAGTCAGTACAGCTTTTACAGGATATTTGTTAAAAAGTTTGATGTCACAGATCAGTCTAGTCCATTATGTCATTGGCGATGTTTGTATTTAATTAGGGTCTCCTGAGGAGAAATCTAAGCTCATGTTCTCCATGAACGACATCGATGGAACTGGTTTCTTATCAAAGGAGGAATTTGCCCGGATGCTCAGGTTTGATCAATCTTTCCTTTCGTTTCATTCCTGCGGCAAGTTTTTTTTTTTTCAGTCTGACATCTCTGCCCTTTTGATGTGCTGCAGGTCTTTTATTGAAATCTCCAATGGGGCTCTGTCTAAGAGCCAGGCAGAGGACGGCATCGAGGCCATGATGCTGGCAGCGGGCTTTGATGAAAAGGAGAACATCACATGGGAGGACTTCCATTTCCTCCTGCGGGACCACGAAAAAGAGCTGCAGTTTGCCCAACTCAATGTCAAAGGTTGGATAAAGTCTTACGTAAGAAGATCTGTTCTTTAAGTCCTCACTTCTCTGACCTTATCCAATGAAATGAATGCGTCTGCTGCGTGTGCAGGGATGGAGAATCGGGGGAAGAAGCGGATGAGCCGAGACCAGAGAGTGTCCTTCATCTGTCCAGGAAACAGGTCAGAGAACAGGACACGGGCTGTGATCATTCATCCAGAACCACGGCTTCTGCTCACCGCCGTTAAAAACAATGTGTCCGCTGTAGTTTTGTCCCTTACTCCTTTCATTTAAATACCCCAAGTGACTATTGTGACCCAGCTTACGGACTTTTTTTTTTGTTCGCAGCAGCAAGGCGGATGGACAGGAGATACGCAGACGGAAAAAGTTGGTTGCGTATTTATTTTTGCACATATGATGCAACTGCTCTTGAGTATCCTTTGAATAAAAGCGGATGATAATTGTGAATACTTTCAGGTTGGGTGTCAACACTCCAAATGTCTATGTGAAGCCCAAGCGTGAGCAGTACATAAGAAACCCAATCCAACAAAAGATCCAGCAATTCAAACGCTTCATTGAGAATTATCGCCGCCACATCGTGGTTTTCGTCGCCGTGTACGGCATCACAGCTGGCGTGGCGCTTGAAAGATGTTACTGTGAGTAGAAATCCTTCCTCTCCATGTCAATGTGTTGCAGTCCTCGGCCTCTCGCCAATCATCTTTGACCTAATTAAAGACATTGCTTCCAGACTACGGTTTGCAGGCCGATTCGACGGGTTTACCTCAGACTTCGATGGTGGGCATCATCGTTTCCCGTGGCTCGGCTGCCGCCATCTCCTTCCTGTTTCCCTACATGCTTCTCACCGTGTGCCGCAACCTCATCACATTTTGCCGAGAGACATTCCTGAATCGCTACATCCCCTTCGACGCGGCCATTGATTTCCATCGCTTCATGGCAATGACCGCCGTGCTTCTTGCAGGTCTGTAGCTCAGAGGAGATGGAAAGCAGGCGATGGATGATGGCGGGAAGTTCACCCGTTTATTTGTGCTCACTCTTATTTCTGTTCCAATTGTAGTTGTTCATAGTTTGGGCCATGTGTGCAACGTCTACGTCTTCTCGGTCAGCAACCTCAGCATCCTGTCTTGTCTGTTCCCCAAAGTATTTTTGGACAACGGGTAATTTTTTAATATCTGCCTTATTTTATCAGCTATGTTTACACTCTGTGGAGAATGTGTGTCGCTGAGTACCAGTGTTTTTCACGTTAGGTCTGAACTTCCCCTGAAGTGGTCATGGTGGTTCTTTGAAACTGTTCCAGGTATTGTAGGATATCGTTTTTACGACATGGATTGCTTGTTAAATTGGGATTTAATCATATTTCTTTTGGTCTTCTTTGTCCTTTTCCCAGGAATGACTGGCGTATTGCTTCTTCTCACTTTGGCAATCATGTATGTTTTTGCCTCACACTTTTTCCGTCGCATCAGCTTTCGTGGATTTTGGATCACACATTACCTCTACACCGTTGTGTACATTCTAGTAAGTACTTATCCGACTTGAATGTACCCAAAATGCACCCTGCCTTCAGGTGCCTTGAATCACAGTTCTTTCTGCAAGTGATGATGATGCTGGCTTTGTCAACAGACTGTTATTCACGGCAGTTTTGCCATGCTCCAAGAGCCCCGTTTCTACATATACTTAATTCCACCTGCACTGCTCTTCCTGCTGGACAAACTCATCAGCTTGAGCAGGAAGAAGGTGGAGATCCCCGTGCTCAGAGTTGAGCTGCTACCTTCAGGTGACTCTTCTGGAAACTCGTCGCAATGTCTTGTGTCTCTTTTACTTGATCTTGGCTAACTAGGTTTCTATTTTCCATTGACTCAACTTAAATCACGTAATGCATTCAAGCTCACACGTCCCCCGGCTTTCTTCCTGCAGGTGTGACACATCTGGAGTTTAAGCGACCGCAGGGCTTTGTGTATCGTTCAGGCCAGTGGGTTCGTGTTGCATGCCTGATGTTGGGCACAGACGAGTACCACCCATTTACACTGACGTCAGCCCCGCACGAAGAGACGCTGAGCCTGCACATCAGGGCCGTGGGGCCCTGGACCAGCCAGCTCCGAGACCTCTACACCGATGAAAGTCTGCTCGAACTTGGAGACTATCCAAAGGCAAGTTAAAGCATTATTTTGTGCGTGTAAATCGTTTTTTTCTTTTTTCTTCTTGTCGCTTTTAATTTTATCCGTACTTTATTTCACCCTCAGCTGTACTTGGATGGCCCGTTCGGAGAGGGCCATCAGGAATGGATTGACTTTGAGGTGTCTGTTCTGGTGGGAGGAGGAATTGGAGTCACCCCATTCACCTCCATCCTAAAAGACCTGGTGTACAAGTCCTCCACCAAGTCCAAGATTCTGTGTAAAAAGGTACCACTTAAAAACCCTACCATGCATTTAGTCATGATTCCATCCGTGAGGGATTATTGATTTGTGCAAAAAGCTCACTCTTCATCTCTTTTCTCGCTTCAACATTGAAGGTTTACTTCATCTGGGTGACAAGAACACAGCGTCAGTTTGAGTGGGTGTCAGACATCATCAGGGAGGTGGAGGAGATGGACACCAAGGAGCTGATATCAGTCCACACCTACATCACGCAGGTGGCCGAAAAGTTCGACCTCCGCACCACCATGCTGGTGAGTTACAAGTCAGGGAAGAGAAGGTTGACTGAAATAATTACACATACTTCCAAATAAGTATTCTTTTTAGTTTTTTAGTTGGGAGTTAGGTGGTATAATATGTATACCACTCTCAAATATTAGCTCGGTGTGGCACAGGGGTAGAGAGGGTGTGCTGGGAACCGCAAGTTTGGTGGTCTGAGTCCCGGCTGCCCCATGTCCCATGTCGAAGTGTCCCTGAGCAAGACACCTATCCCCTAATTGCTCCCCAGGCAACAATGTTAAAAGTCATGGGTTAAAATGCAATGTAAGTTGCTTTGGATAAAAGCGTCAGCGAAATGACCAGTAATGTAAAATGTAAAATTTGATAAATATGAAGGTGGTTAGCTTAGCATAGCATAAAGACTGAAAACAATGGAAAACTTGATAAGATAACAAAATAAGCCTATCAGTTGCATAATAGTTGCATAGATAGATAATTCCGCACAAAACCTAGATGTACAGATTAAGAAAAACATGATATAACAAGTTCCACTTAGTCTGACGTCGTATCTTAAGGCTTAAGTTTAGCTAATAACATCTTCCCAAACTTTTCTGTCAATAGTAATGAAATCCACCAACGATCCCTCACCCTTGTCTTTCAACAGTATGTGTGTGAGCGCCACTTTCAGAAGGTGTGGAGCCGAAGCCTCTTCACCGGCCTGCGCTCCGTCACTCACTTCGGCCGGCCGCCGCTGGCGTCCTTCCTCAACTCACTGCAGGAGGTTCACCCCCAGGTCGGTCCGTCATCCATCTTCGCCTGCCTCGTGTTTGTTGGAAACGTCGGCCAATACATCGGCCTTCTTTGTAACTTGTGTTATTGTCTGTAGGTGGGTAAATTCGGTGTATTCAGCTGCGGGCCACCCGGACTGACCAAAAACGTGGAGAAAGCTTGCCAGCAGATGAACAAGATGGATCAGGCCCAATTCCTCCATCACTATGAGAACTTCTGACTTTCCTCTTTGATTTGGACGAGCGGCAGTTAGTGACAAAGTCACACTATCACAGAGCGCAATGTAGGAAGTTTTGATTATGTATGTGTACCTGTTAGATGTGTATTCTTTCCTTCTATTTTCTGTATTCATTAATATTATTGTTGTACATTTATTTCAATTACAGATGACAGATGATATTTGTTATTTCTATACAATACATGAGTACATTCACAAGATAAGTGAAATACATTTGACATTTTATTTGTTGTTTGACACAGATATGTAACTGCCGCCACCGGTCGTGTCTTTGTTCAGTCGATTTTATGTCATTGATTTCTTGTGTTTTGTTTGAAATATGTGAAACAAATAAAATCAGAGTTGCAACACATGTCAGAAGGACTCAGAAACCATGTGTGTACCACGTCCACAGCAGCAGCAGTAAATCTCCTGTCTTTGTTGTATATCAGATTATATAAGGACCTGTGGGATTTTGTGCAGTTGCGTTTCTCTTAATCTTCTGTTGTCTTCTTCTAGTGCTGCCATTGGACTGAATCATGCTTTATTAACACAAAATCGGGGGGGACAAAGTTTTCCTGGATGCCACATGAATTCACTCCATGAGTTCACAAGTTAATAATCTAGAGACATTTTTCAGTTATTACACATACAGTACCTAAGGTGCTACTTCTTCACTGTCCCCAAAAAATAGCTCTACACATTTGTTTGCTTATCAAATACACCCAACATAAATGTAAGAAGGGTGTATGCAAATATTTGATTAACTGAGATGATTTTAATGGAGGCCCATAACTTCCAAGCAGGATACTCAATAACTCAATCTGAGGCGCATGAGGAAGAAGACCACACTTCCGTGTGTGTGCTACCAGGCAGACATCCACTGAGGCATTAAACTTGTCCCAGAGGCACCAGGAAGTTTCTTTTTTTTAAATCCTATTGACTCAAAGTAGATTTGAGTTGGAGCATGAGCTTGTTGAGGAACGCCCTGCTCCGGTCACGCACACCCGGCAGTCCAGTTCCACCGTAGTCTAATGTTCTAATGTGTGGCCCTCTAATCACAAGCCAGAGTTACATAAAGAGAACGTTTGCTGCTGCCTTCAATTGGCCGTTTCTGCAATTCGGAATTCTTAAAGACATTCTTAAATTCCACTGCAAATTGTTGTGTGCTATACAAACATAGTTATTGGCCTTCCTTGCCTTGCTGCAGAAATTCACCACAGCACCTCATAATATTGTAAAAGTCACATTATAAAAAGATTTTATGAGGTATCATAATATTCTTTCCTGATAAAAAGAAGGGTTGATATTGACACAGTAATTCCAATATACATTTTTATTTCTCCTAACACCAGCGTACTTACTGTCAATGGCATGCAAATATTTAGTTGCTGAATCTGTGAAACAGTTGTAATTACGGAACAAACTGATATTATCTTCTATTTGCAATTGCTCATGCTTTTATTCAATTTTCCAACTGCCCTCAATATAATGTCAATTAATCAAGTCTAATCGGATATCTTTAAGATACGTTTATGCAGTTTAGTAAATAGGATTGAGATGAAAAGTAAAGAAAAGAGATTGCCTTAGATGCATTCAAAAAGCAGATATTGATACTGACATTCGTGACATGTTTTTTCTCATGTGAGCATGTTTGCCAACCTTTGCACAGCTTCCACACAATTGGTCGTAGTGATTATAACTTGGCAAACAGTAGGAGATTTCCCAAAACAGTGAGGTCCTCACGAAAGCGTACAACTCAACTTCTGAGACATAAAAGCAAAATAAAACTGCTGATAAGAGTGAAAAGATTACACGAAGTGCGCGCGAGTGGAACTCCCCCAGATAATCTCCACAGGGAGGAACACCGAAGATCTCGGGAAATGAAGCAAGAAGAAGGAACCTGCAGCGTCTTCACTGGCACGATAGAGCGGTTGTTATCGGAACGCCCTCAGGTTGAGTCTAAAAAGTAAATATACATAATGTCATGTTTACTCATAGAAAATGTTCCTCAATGCCAGCATAGTAGTTAGCCTGCGTGAAGATGAAAAGGGGACACTGGAACAGATACTCGGCTTAGGTCAATAAAGGTCACAGATGACTGTTGAAATCAAGACTCAACCTGCTTGTTCGTGATGCGGAAGTAATTCGGTGTAAAGCTCTGCCTTTGCCGGTCAGCAAGGATGACACGCAGCAACTGATATGCAAACCGCCAATCAACCGCTATCATATGTATTTTCTGGGAATGGTTTGGCAGTGACATAAAATGCAGTGGTTAATCATTGACAAAAGACAAACACTACCACTTTTATTTAATTATTAATGATAAGAATTATTATATTACTTAGCTGTTTGTCAAATCGAGCAGGTATTTCCCGAAATTTCCCGAGAATTTCAGTTAAAATACCCTCCTTACATTACTTCCTCCACTGCAGCTCAGTAAGGAAATACAATCTGGGGAAAAACAAAGGATAATAAAAATGTCATTTTGAAAAGACTACGGTATAGTTTACAAGCATTTTATTTTGTCTCCTCCATTGTTCATACTCTTTTTTTGGAGGACTTTTAACACGTGGCTCTGAGGCCAACTCGTACTGGTCAGTTAATAAACGTGTAAAACGGACACAGCGTGATTTACTGTAACACTCACTGATCAAATGGCACCCTCTTCTGGTAAAGACTATTGGGCATCCTTCGTCCTTTTACACGGCAGCTGGTTGAAATGTGATTCAAGGTCAGCCGGATTTGTGCCGCATTTTTTTTTAGAATTTCCTATGCAACGCCTTAAACTTCCCTTTAGATGCCCTTGTTCCATTCCATGACACGTTGATGCTTTTCCTTAAAGCAAAGCCGACATCTCGACGTACTGGATCGACGCCCACGACAGAAGCGTTTCATCTTGCTTTTATTGAGTGTCCCGTTCACAGCGACGACCATGAAAGTTCGCTGAGCTGGTCTGTGGAGCAGTTCGGTGCCTTGCTCAAAGGCCGCTTGTTTCACAGAAGATCTGAACCACACAAGCCTCCTATCTAAATTCCCTGATGACTTTGGGTTCAGCATTACCCGAAATAACTGTGCTGCAAAACACAACTTAAGTAGCTTAAATCTTCCTACAGGACAGGCCAAAATAATGTAGTGTGTTGTCTGCGCAGTGGTGAGCAGTTTGCATCGGTAGATTAAGAGTCTGGTAATCTTCTTAGTTTCGGTAAGTACCTAGCTAGAAATCAGCTACGGTCCAGATTGTCCCAGATAAACAACTCAGACAATAACAAAGCGAGGCTCGAGGAACTATGTGGCATTGTGGCCTCACTGGCGTGAAATATGCACCTCCTCTACTTTGGGAACCGTGTCGACAGAGCCGCTGAAGACGTTCTGGCGGGACTCTTCAACTGGAAGATGTTCGGCAGCGGCACGAAGAAGTGGTTTGTGAAGAAGCAGAAGAGGCAGAAGCAGACGTCTGGCCGGAGGCCATGCACCGGGGGCAGGAAGAGATGGGCCTCCAAGATCCTCAAACAGCACCGGCAAAAGATCCTCCGCGAGCTGGATGTCAGCGCGGTGCTTCCCTACCTGGTGTATGATCAGGTTTTCTCACTGGTGGAGTACAAGGAAATACTGGGACAGGAGTCCAGCAAGAAACAAACGGAGATATTCTTGGACCGTCTGTCCTCCAAGGGGCCTGCTGCATTCTGTTCGTTCTGCTCGATTTTGGAAGAAGTGTGTCCTCACCTGCTGACTTCCTTTCTGCTGGATGAGAAAGGTACAACCACTGATTAACCGCTAATTGCACTGTGGGACATTTACTGTGAGGAAATGAAAACAAACCAAAGGCAACACAAAGGGAAGAACGCTACTCTGCAGTAAGACCGCCACAGACTAAAAGCCTGTGAAAATAGCTTCTTAAATCTGGATGGCTGAGGGGATTATTAAGCCGCCAGCGATCCCGACTAGTCTCTGCCAACATATGGCCTCAACGTGGCTGTAGTCTCCACCGACCTGTCTGCGCCCCACGACTCCAAAGCAACGGGCTTCGAATGTATTTACAAAAAAGAAAATGACCCGCATTTACAGCTCGGTGTTATTTGTGGATAGTATCCCACAAATATAATCTTGCAAATCTTCTTGCGTGTTGGAGGGGAGTTTGTGTGAACGTGCAGAGCCATAAAGGGGGTCTAATATATTCATCCGTTCCCACAGATGGTGGCCCAGGAGAGGGAAGGAACGGGGGACTCCCAGTGTCCACTTACAGTCCAGGAGAGCAACGTCTGTGCTCCCCTCCCAAGTACACCGACCCCGTGTTCGACTCCAGGTGAGAGCAACTTTTCACTGCTTACAGAGAAGTAGCACAAACAGAATGCTTTAATGTCTGTGTGTCAAATAAAAAGTCTTAGTGATGTGGTTAAATCGAGAAGAGTTTTTTTAGGATTTTGTTTTTTGCACCAAAAGAAAAAACAGGCTTAAGAAAATTGTTCGTTTTTATTGTCATAAACTCCATTTTCTTTTTATTAATGGATTCATTTAGGCAACAAGCTCTGCCTGGCATTTTATCTCTCTTTCTTATTTTCCAAATGTAAAGTCCATCCTGTCTAATCGCTCTACATGGCTTGTGTGCAAAACGTGGTTGCTAACCGCGCTGCTGTGTTGGACGTGCTGCTCTGCATAGCAGCACGTCCAGAATGATGGATGTTGTTGAATCGTTGCATCAATGTTTTGCTGCATGATTTCTGCTCTGTCCTGCTGTGCATGCTGATGTTGTTGCTTTTGTCACTACGCTGCTTATTGCCTGATATCCCTTTACCCGTTCCGTTTTTGTTTTCATTGCCTCAAAAGCGTCAAAATATTGGCTGCCTGATTCTCACAGGATTATTTACAGTAATGTGGATTACTGTATGTTGCCCTTATACGTTCATAAGAGAGGTGGTGAAAAGATATCCTTGATATTTAAGAGGAATAAAAAGTAAACGCAGCGTGCAGATCCACAATATTAAAAAACGTAATTTTCTTCTATAATTTCACCCCTTCTGTCATTGGACTAATTCGGCAAAAATTCTCTTTCAGAAACAAAAACCTTTGCAGCATCATATTCAAGTTTTAAAATGGTGATTTAACAAAAAGAAGAGATTAAAATGACATCTGCGGGGCAATTCTTTTGTGCACGACGGCGGCAGCAGTCCAGCACCGTGCAGAGTCCTGTGAGGCAGATTTTGCCACCGTGTGTCAAAGCCTGTGAATGCATCGTGACTAAGTGTTAGTGTGTTTCTGGGTGTGGGTGTGTGTGTGTGTGTGTGGACCCTCCGAGGGTACCCTTGACCCAACCGACACAGCAGGGGGAGGGGAGCAGCAGGGAGGGAGAGTGTATATATATATTTCTGTGTG